TGATTTATTCCTTTTTGTAATTATTCTTAAATTGAATTGGGGGTTTCCTTCGCTTGTTAATTCTGAGATTGTTTGATTAATTTGAAGAATTGGGATCAATTCGTTTCTGGGTTTCTTGCTTTTGTCCTTCAATTGATTGGTTTTGGTATAATTGTGAATTTGCATTTGTGTTTAATCTTGATGGAGAGTGCTAACTGCCGTCGCCGTGGTTTAGTGGTAAGAATAATGTCTCTTTTATTAATGATGTTTAGTAGAGGTATATATGCGAAATTTATTGGTTAGTATGTAATTAAGATGAATCTGATTCCATTTCTCTTGATTGTTGAGACCAGGCTCACTGAATTGGAAGAAATAGAAAAAAGTATTCTAAATTATGTTATGAATTACAAATTATATGAATAAATTTAGTTTATGTGCAATGCTTTGTCTGGCAATCATATAAATCTATGACAGTGCTGACTGGATTACCAAAAAAGACAGTGCTGACTGATTGTTTCATTTGCTTGTATTTCTCTTGGATATTTTTGAAAGCATTAAATTTTCAATTATCAGGACTTTTGTTCGTTTTAGAAATTACTTATTATGTGATGGTGTTGAATCCGATCAAATTATGGCACAATGCAGGCACATGCCCCTCCCCCCGGTTACTTTGTACGGTTGGAGAATACAAGTACTGACGACGATTTATATTTGAGGAAGAAAGTCAGGATGCGCAAGTGGCTCTGTTGTACTTGTCACGTCGAAGAGTCTTATCCATCAAACGAAAATGAACGCCTGAAGAGCCCGAAGCATTATACAGATGGTACAATTTTCTGACTTTTATTTAGAATTATGAAGAGTTTCCTGTAATTGAGAAAACGAAATCACTTTAGTAACCTAAGGTGTTAGTTCTTGAAGTTTCTAGTGATTCTAGAATCATGGTTACAGTGCTAAATTTTGAGTTCAAGTTAAATCCTTGAGCTATCATTTTCAAAATTTACTACTGCCCCCACAACACAACTGCCAACATTATGCCAAACTGGCAACCACCAATATTCCTTTGCCATGTTTATTGTATGACCTTTGCCACATCATGGATTTCAACCACAATCCATATCTCTGTCAGCAGTTTCTGAACATTAAGTTTTAATTCTTGACTCCAAATAGCAAAGTTTTTTCTATGGTTTTCGGCTTTGAACATACGCAGGCAAATGAAACCTGTAAATTTAATGCTGTTAAAGATCACCTATTGAACAAGTGTCTGCATGTGTGAGTATTCATGTGTGTTTATGTGTTGATTTTTCCTCATCAGACAAGCTTATTTAACTAGTTTTGTAAACGAAATTTTCAGGAGTTATTAATGTTCATTATAAGTTGGTTTTTTTTTTATAAAAATCAATTTGTATGAAAAAAATTTAGTGTTATTATAAATATGAAATAAATTCAATAGTTTAATTGGTTTTTGAGGTTGCTAACAAAGTACTGGAACAATTTAATGGAAATGTCTTCCGGTTATAACATAGGATTATTTTGGCCATCTATTTTTTGCATGTTTAGGGAACCAAAAGGGCAATAAGGTGTCAGCTCCTGTAAAATCTGACGTACAGAAGGCCCCACCACCCATTGAAGTGCCTCCATTGTCTTTGGAGGAGCTGAAAGAGAAGACTGACAATTTCGGATCTAAGTCATTGATTGGTGAAGGATCATATGGAAGAGTATATTATGCAAGCTTGAATGATGGTAAAGCTGTGGCCGTGAAGAAGCTTGACGTTGCATCCGAGCCCGAGTCAAATGGCGAGTTTTTGACCCAGGTCTGTCTGCAACTCTCTTTCTTGAAATATAATTGTATCACAATTTGGTATATGGTATGTGACGTGACTAGTGGTTTCTTATCGTATCTGACTGCATCTTGACATATTTCATTTAAGGTTTCCATGGTTTCAAGATTGAAGCACGAAAATCTTGTTGAGTTGCTTGGTTACTGTGTGGACGGAAGTTTGCGCGTGCTTGCTTATGAGTTTGCGACCATGGGATCTCTACACGACATATTACATGGTTTGTAAAACATCTTGTCTTTTTAATTACAATTCAGATTCACTTGATTTGAAATTTCCTTGTAGAAACTAGAACCCATTAAGTTGAATGTGAGTGCAATTACAGGTAGAAAGGGAGTTCAAGGGGCTCAACCAGGTCCCACACTAGACTGGTTGCAGCGGGTGAGAATTGCAGTTGATGCGGCTAGGGGATTGGAATACTTGCATGAGAAGGTTCAACCTGCTATTATACACAGAGATATAAGATCTAGTAATGTGCTTCTCTTTGAAGATTTCAAAGCCAAGATTGCAGATTTTAATCTATCAAATCAGGCTCCTGATATGGCTGCTCGTCTTCATTCCACTCGAGTTTTGGGAACGTTTGGCTATCATGCCCCAGAGTATGTCTCTTAAACTACATATATGTGTTTATTAACTTATTGTCATGTATTTTATGGTTGTTTACTTTGGGTTGTTGGTTTTCAAGTTTCACTACCTCCCTCCCTCCCTCCCTCCCTCCTCCTCCTCGTGTAAATAAAAGTTTGCTATGACCTGTCCACTAGGCTATTTGATGCATCCAGCTGGAATGAGATCTCTTAGTTCGAAATTCTTTGTATCATTTACTTCACCGTCTTTGGTGCTTATTTGTTGATAGGAATTAAGTGGCAAAGTGCATTTATCTTGGGATTCATTGTGAAACACTGTTTGCAATTCTTTCGACCATCAAATTCAATATGCCTTTTATAAGATGAAGTAGCTTTTATTTAGAATAGGATGGTATTGGACTGGAATTGTGGCGGGTCTAGATGATAATTGCTTCTCAATGGATCATGTTATTATTGAGATATAATTCAGTTAAACTTTGATGATAAGGATTGTTTGAATTATGTGGACCTACAAAAGGCATCACTCAAGTAGTCATTTGTATCAAGAGTTACTGGAATTGCATATTTCCATTTATGATGTCAACTAGTCTGATCACTGAACGCTGAGTGGAATTGTTTGAAAACATTTCTTTGAGGTATATGCACCTCTATTGGTCATTGAGGAGTGTAAATGGTTATAGATCACAGTTAATTTGAATTTGCAAAAATGTTCTGCAGGTATGCAATGACTGGTCAATTGACACAGAAGAGTGATGTGTACAGCTTTGGTGTGGTTCTTCTAGAACTTCTGACTGGGAGGAAACCTGTTGATCATACAATGCCACGTGGACAGCAGAGTCTTGTTACTTGGGTGAGTCTATATGCTTACTTCTTTGTGAATATCATTTCCTTTCTGCTCTACCAGTCTTCTGCTTCATTTAGTTTGACCTGACATATACCCTGCTTTTTCTCAGGCTACTCCAAGATTGAGTGAAGACAAAGTTAAACAATGTGTAGATCCAAAGCTGAAGGGAGATTATCCTGCTAAAGGAGTCGCGAAGGTCTCTCTCTCTCTCTCTCTCTCCACAACCACCTGTCCACCATTCACAGAATTTTTTTGTTTAATATTGGTGTGCTCACAGTTTTTGATATTCAATTATAGATTTAGCAGCTTAGAATGTGATTTTCGTGTTGTTGATACAGCTGGCAGCTGTGGCAGCATTGTGTGTGCAATATGAAGCTGAATTCCGGCCAAATATGAGCATTGTTGTTAAGGCTCTTCAACCACTTCTGAAGCTGCCACCACCACAAGCTCCGGAGCCTTGAAGTCTCCTTCTGTTGGAATTTCTGCGTCCCTGAAACATTCTGCTTTCAAATTGCCTGCTGATTTCATCATAAACTTTCTATATATATATATATATACAATTTTTTTTTCTTTTGTTTTTCATATATGATATTGGATGTGTAGGATTGGTTTGGCCAGTTTTTTATGTCATTGCTGAGTTCTGTATGTTGCTGGAACTATCCCGGTTTCTAATTTTTTAGTTATGAATTGACTTGGGGATTGGGTTGTGAGGTGGATATATTTTTCTCTGAATACTGTTTGCTTTCTTTGGCTTCTGTATCATTGAATGAAGTCTATCGCGCATGTTTTGTAATGGAAAATCAAACTCTGCAAAACCTGGTATATAGGGTGTTCATAATTGTGCATAGTCTCGACCAACCTGGTATAGAGTATCAGTTAATGTTGAACAGTTATTATTATTACTTTTAAATTTTTAGAAAGAAACAATTTAAAAGCCATTTGCTCGCAAGCAGGCCGCATGTACCATCTACACTGATTGGTCTTTTTGTTACAACTTTATGAAAAAATAGTAAATTTCATATTGCTATTCGGAAGTTTACGTTTCAGCCTTTCCTATTTCAAGTATTTTTCATGTTAACTTCGAACCTAAATTTTGATTTGGGTTATTTGCTCAAATGGTCATAAAACTTATACCCGAGTTGCATTTTGGTACCTTAACTAAATTATTCATTTAAATGGTCCACCAACTTTTTATTAATCGGTGCATTGGTCCTATTGTTACATTATGTCAATATTGCCGTAATATATGGGTAAAACAGTCCAGTTAAATAAAATTGTAAATAAATTAAAAACTAAAAATCAAAAGAAAAAAAAACCTATCTCCCTCTCCCAGCCCCTAGCTTGATAACCATTGCCCCATGCCCCCATCTTGTCCTCCCCACAGCTAACCCTATCTTCTCCATGTCCCCTCCTCTCTCCCTCTATATCCTAGAGAGAGAGCGAGAAAAAGGGGGATGGGGATGGGGATGGGGATGGGGAGAGTGGGGTGCTGAGAGGCTATTGCAAACCCACAATGAGATGGGGTTGGGATTGGAGTGGGGGAGGATGAGATTGGGGTGGGGTTGAGTGGGCTGGTTTTTTTTAGGGTTACTTTTTGTTTTTATTTTTATTTTTTATATTCCTTTATAGTTTCTAATTAATTTAAAAAATAAAATTTGTAGTCATATATTTTTATTTTTTAGTTGTCAAAAGTCTTATTTACCCCCATAAATGCAGCATGTGTTTCTCACGTGACTAAATCTAACAAAAAATGTGATGGTAGGACTAATGCGCTGATTAATAAAGAGATGGGGACCATTTGAAGAATAATTTAGTTGAGGGGCGAAAATGCAACTTGGGTATAAGTTTGAGGACCATTTGAATAAAAAACCCTTTTCATTTTCCTACCACTTCATACCTTTGTTATTTTGATTTCTTTGTCAGATGGTGACATAACAATTAATGAACTCATTGGACTTGCTTGTATTCTGCCACGTGGAATGACAAAAGAAATAATAATTTTTTTAACATTAATTAATTAAAAATGGAAGAAAAATACTCCTCCCTCACCCTCGCACTACCCTCCTCTGTCCCTCTCTCTCTCTCTCTCTCTCTCTCTCTCTCTCTCTCTCTCTCTCTTACCAACAAATGGAACTTAGAATGCATTCGTCATCAAATATCACCATAGCAACTAAGGTAATTGAAGCTACCAATGTGGGCAATGAAACTGATGATGATAGCTTAATTTGGCCAAGAGACCGCTCTAGTTGCTTCCTTTTACTGTGAAATCAAGCTATCACTCACTTTTTGCTTGAGAATTCAGAGTAGTGTCCCTTCTTAGTACAGGGCCTTTGAGCTTTTCCATAAGTTTTTAATGCATGTGGTGTTTTTCCACATGATGTGCATGCATCCATTGTATGTGCATCAATTGAATGCGCTTGGTTCATTAGATGGTACAATGCATCTAAAGCCTTCTTTTATCACATAAATGGAGGTCTATTCTCATTTGGGAATCAATTGAGGCATCAAGGCATCAAGTCAAGTGTGAGTGTGAGTAAAAGTTCGAGTGTGTCATTTACTAAGGAGTTGGGTGTGTATCAAGAGTGTGTATATATAATTCTTGGAGAATTCAAGAGAGGGAATTTCTCTTGGGTGAGAGTGATCTTCACATGTTTTCAGAGAAAGGATGTATAAGGGGTGTATCCTATGGGATATGGGCTTCAGTTTGGGTACAAAACTATTGTGCAGTTTATTTTATTGTACTTGTATTTCTTTCATATAGTGAAATTGGTAACGCTTTATGGGCGTAGACTAGTTTTTCCCGAACCACGTTAAATTCTTGGTGTTTTTTGTTTCACTCATTGTCATTTTGGTGCATTCCTTTTTTATTTTGTTGTGACGAGGAATACTAATTTTTCCAACAAGTGGTATTAGAGCTTTGGCTCGATGACCATGGTGCTTGTAATCCTAGTTTCGTCATGGCGAGAAGTATTCCCTCACAATTCAAGGTGGAACAATTTGATGGAAATATGAGCTTTACTATTTGGCAAAGAATAGTGAAGTGTAAAGATGCAAAACAGGAGAGTATGGTGGTTATAAGTGAGAAGACTTGGAGTCGAGGTATGTCAGTATAGTCCAACTCTAGACTGCAAATAACTTTATCAACTCTATAGATGAAGATTCTACCCGAACACTGTGGCAGAGGTTGGAGAGGCTTTATCCGAATAAGAGCTTAACTACGAAGTTGAATCTAAAGCTGGATTTGTACAAGCTAAAGATGAAGGAGGTCGCTAATCTCATTGAGCTTTTCAACGTGTCAAGGGGTTGTTGAATCAACTGGCAAGGGTTGATGTCAAGATTAAAGAAGAAAATAAAAACTTTTTACTTCTTACATCACTTCCCAACTGGCAAGGGCTGCAAGTGTTCTGTAGTAGGGGAGTTCTGAAAGTCACACATGGTTGTATTGTCCTGATGAATGGAGAAGAGTGTTGTGGTTTATATCGTTTGATAGGAAGTACTTAAACCTCGATGGCTTATGGGAAATGGCGTGCGCATGAAATTAAGTACTTAAGGCGGGTCTCATTTGCAGGGATAGCAGAGACACATGTTATATGTTTCTTAGGTTCAGATGATGGGAAGAAGGAAACTTCAGCTAGGGAAGGGGTCGAGTCAAGGTTCGTCTTCAGAGCTAATCAATAAGTGTTGCTCGGCACAACTGCACATAAGCATTAGTCGTTATGAATCAGTGGGAGCTAGTACCACATTCTGATTCTAATTATGTGTAGATGGTACAAGGTCAAGGCCAATGTTTGTTTGTGGAATTTACAAATAGTATCTCGGATTGAGATGGACTTTAGGCATTGAAGTGGTGGTGTGATACTCTCCACCTAAGTCAAGAGGGGGAGGTCATTGAATGTGTTTGGTTCATTAGATGGTATAATGCATCTAGAGCCTTTTTCTATGGCTATATAAAGGGAGGTCTATTCTTATTTGGGAATCAAGTAAGGCATTAAGGCATCAACTCAAGTTTGAGTTTGAGTTTGAGTTTGAGTGTGAGTGTTCATTCACTAGGGAGTTATGTACGCATCAAGAGTTGTATAATTCTTGGAGAATTAAGACAGGGGATTTCTCTTGGGTGAGAGTGATATGGGCTTGGAATTAGGTACAAAACTCTTGAGCGGTTTATTTTCTTGTACTTGTATTTCTCCCATATAATGAAGGCGGTAACACTTTGTGGATGTAAGCTTGTTTTTTTGTCGAACCCCTTTAAATTCTTGGTGTGCTCTCTTGTTTCACTCATTATCATCTTGCTACTATTTTTTTTTATCTTTCCATCTTTTTTGTTCTGACGAGGGGGAATAATTTTCCGAAAACACATACCTTCCAAGTGGAGTGAATCCCTTAAAAAAAACTTAGGAAATCCCCTATATGCCCACCCTTGGAGTGAAAGTTATGAGAAATATATCCTCCTCGCCACTCTTTTTTTAAATTGAATGATGATGCCTCGTGGAACAAGGAAGCTTTCAAAGTGAGTTTGGGGCTTATCCTTTGAGTTTGGATTGGTACCGTCATAGCAGTTGTTGCTTTTCCTTCCTTCCAAGGTTTTAGGCGAGTGTTGATTGGGGAAGCAACTACTGCTTTTTTAGGGTTGAGACAAAATGGTCGGTTTAGGTCTTAGAAATATGTGCATGAAATCAAACTCGTAGGATGTCTTTTTGTTGATTGAATCATATTTATCTTGTAGGGGACTTTTTCTTCCTACAGCTAATGGGCTGGGCTGCTGTAAAAAGGCGGACTGAGGAGACTATCCCCTTTGCTTAGGTTCGAAAATTAAGCCCCAAAATACCTCGAAAGGGTAGCAAAACCTTAGGAAATATTTTGGCTATCTTCACCGATCAGAATAATGGTGACTTACAGATGGTTTTGGCATGATTACAGATAGTCTTTTAGCTCAACATGAGTGGCATGTGGCATGGGAGCAAAACCAACATAAGTTTAGCACTAAGAGAGAGATTAGGCTTGGTTTATGAGAAAAGAAAGTATTAAGGTAAGGAATGAGGTGTTTTGTGAGGAATTTTGACTGGGGAAAGAGGAAAAAGAAAGGCAGAGTTCTTCTGGCAGCTGCTAGAAAAACAAATTGGAGAAGAAGGTGAACAGTGCATGAGGTTGTTAGATTTTTGCAAGTTAGAGAGAAAGCTTGCTCCCTGAATTTTTTGAGTTGCCTCTGTTGGGTAGGGGAAGCCTCAATTTATAGCTGTTGGAAATCACCATTTTTCAAGAAATCCTAATGACTTCTACTTATTTTGGCTAAGCTTTTTCCTCCTTTCTCCTCCTCTTCTCTGACTTCCCTATCTTGGCAAAAATTGCCTCTGTTTATTTGCACGAATTCAGGAGATTTGGGAGCTCAACGTCCCCCTTTCCCGCAGTTGTGCAGTGGGAGCTTCCCTTCTTGGTTATTGTTTTTTCTTCTTTCCTTCCCCCTGCTTTGGCTAAATCTGATGAAGGAAAGGAAGTGAAAATATATGCTGGTCCAAGGGGTGCTTTTGATAGCATGCAGGCCAACATTCCTTGGTTTTTTAGGCGTCTCTGGCTTGGAACTTGCTCCCAGCAGCTTTGCTTAATGAGTCTGCCAACCTCCTTCACGCGTTTTCTATTTTTCAATAGAGCTGAGGCTTTTGTGGGTTATTTTGGGATTTTATATGGGCCAATGTGGTTTCCTAAGCAAATGGGCTTTTTGTGAAACATTGGGCCTCTTGATTGGGCTTATTTTTTGGTTGGGTTATTTTTGGTTAGGTTATTTTGCTTGGGCTTTTGGGCTACTTTTCTCTCTTGTGCTTACCCACCTGTTTGGGCCTAAGAAATGGGTTTGAGTCTCGAGACTCCCAAGCAACCCGAGACTTTCCATTTCTTGACCCATCAATGGGCCTCATGTTGATTTATTACCATCCATGCCACAACCCACTCAAGCAAGCCCCTGGGTTTTTGAGTGGCTTGGGCCCACTTAGGCTTGTAGCGTGGTTGGGTATGTGATAATGATTTCGTGCTTGGCATGGCACATTGTTTGGCATGTTTTAATTTATCGTCCTGCGATGCTTATTTTTTGCATGGGCCTGTAAACCCGGTATGTTTTATCTCAACCTCGAGCGAATTTATTTATTTAGCGTGGCACGTGAACTGTAATTTGCATGTGGTGGGTTTCGGTGCACTCTGCTTTACGCTTAATGGATCGTCGTTTTGGGCTGATAATTTATTCGGGCCCAACCATGTATTTTTTGGGTCTCAACATATCTCAACATGAAGTTAGTCATTGTGGGTATTTCGAAATTCAGAATTTTGAGATGCAGTCCAATTTTAATGTTTTTTCTTTCTTTTTCGAATTTTCGAATTTTGGAATTTTTGATTGCCATATTTAATTTGTGAATGCCAAAGCTGGAAAATTTCAGATCGGAATATATCGAAATTGGAATTTCTTATCCAACTTGCACCCCTAGGTTGGAGAAAAGGGTCATATACCCACATCTTTTATGGTTCAATGTACATCTTCTTTGGTTCAACATGTTGGATTGAAACCCAAAGTTTTGGTTTTTAGGTTGAAAAAACGGTTGTATATGGCTAGGCCATGATGTAAGAAATATTATGGGCCATGCGTAAATTGCAGTTTGGTTTCGGTTGGACTTAAAGCTCACTACAGCCCAAGGACAGTACTGTTCACAAGCTTAAGTGGGTTGTAGCTCAATGCAAAATCTATAGAAAACTAAAGGGGGTCTAAATTTTATAAGCTATTTCTACTCCCCAAAAATTTTAACCTACCCCACTTGCCTTTTTTAATTTTAATATATATTTTTTGCCAAATATTGTAACTTGCCTTTATTTAATATTAGTCCAACCTTTTTGGGTTGACTCTAATATAATAAGCTAATGAAAAAAAATACATATTGTTATTTAATAATATATCTTCAACCCACTTGCATTCTCTTTGCTTACTTACCTTTTTTTTTATTGTCGAATTTTACCAATTAACCATAAAGTCTATTCTTTGGAGGGGCTAATCAGATTGGTACCTTGCATCGACCTAGAGCTACTCGTTGGGGATCTCATTATGATTCTTGTTTGGACTTGATAAATATGTATAATGCATCTTGTACAATTGTTGAGACATTGATTAAGGATGGAGCCCATAACTCCATACGCGGGGAAGCTATTGGTACTTTCAAAGCTATGATATCTTACGAGTTCATTTTCATCTTGCATTTGTTGGAAAAAATTATGGGACTTATTAATAGCCTTTGTCGAGCATTATAGAATAAATCTCACTGCCATGAATTTAGTACATAATACAAAAGATATTCTTAAGAAAAATTTCGTTTGGATGGATGAGATATTTTCCTAGAAAATGTGGAATCATTTTGCAAAAAAACATGACATCAATATCCCATATATGATTTATTCAATAATACAATACATTATCAATTGGAAGAGTTAAATAGTAGATTCAATGAACGAACAATGGAACTTCTTATTCTTAGTTCTGCTTTGGACCCTACCAATGATTTTAAAGCATTTAAGATTGATGATAATTGCAAGTTTGCAAAGAAATTTTATCCGCTGATTTCACTGTTAAAGACTTGAATTTATTGACGTGTCAGCTAGAACTTTTTGAGTTTGAAGTACATCAAAAAGATCTTGATATCTTTCGAAATGTGTCTACTCTTTCTGATTATGTCAAGTATTAAATAAAACAAACAAAGCAAATGCATATTATTTGATTGATAGGTTGGTTCGTTTAGTGTTAACTCTTTCGGTTTCTACAACAACAATAGAACGAGCATTTTCAACTATGAAACATGTTAAGATTGTACTTCGCAACAAGATGGAGGATGAGTATCTTGCAGATTCCCTTATTGTCTATATTGAGAAAGAACTTTCTGTGAATATTGATTCAGATTCAATAATCAATTACTTTGATTCTCTCAAGGAGCGTAGGGTTCCACTTCATTAGATCAGCTCTTTTTTTAAATTTTTTTGCAATGCAATATTTGTTTGATGTTTGACAATATGGGTTTAATTTAATGTTTATATATATATATATATTTTAAAGAAAATTATATATATTTTAAAGAAAAGTAAGCTTATAATAGATATCTCATTATATATATAAAAAATTAGTCCACCCTTAAAACAATTCTTGGTTCTGTCCTTGCTACAGCCTACGTGGAGATGGGCCTGTTCAAAAGCTAGTATGATGTCAAATATGTTTTTAATACAAACGGAATGACTATCCTAAATCACAAAACCATATTTAATCTCTATGATTCCAATGGTATAAAAAAATTCAACAGCCCAAATTCGAATGCAATGATCAAAATAGTAATATTTTTTTAGTACGATTCATAATCTAAACTATAGGGAAGAGGGGATTTCTCACTCACACACACACTACTATAATGGTCTAAACCTAAGACGAGCTAGACCATGTTGGCATCAAAATAATAATATTAATCTAAATCGGATCCAATCTCAAAACTCATCCCAAACTCTATAAATAGCTATCTATTTGTTTAATTTTCCACACAAAATCAATTTCTTCCTCTCTCACATACATGGGTGCTTCAATCCTTTTCATTGTCCTTTCATTAAGTGAAATAAAATTATGTTTTCGAAATTTAAATTTTTTGAGTTAAAGTGTTCGTAAAAATAAATTATAATGGTATAAACAAAAATTACTCATAAAAAGTTAACCTCACAAAAAATTTGAGGTTAAAACTACTCTTAAATAATTAATAAAGTTGTGGACTCAATTTTGAGACTATTTGTGTACATGAACATTTGTATTTTGAAAGATAGAATTTTTGGTTTAGCTCCATAAACGTTGAATATGGTCTTTGATTAAGAAAACATTGAAAATGGTCTAACAATAATATTAAAATGCGCTAACAACAAAAGACACCCTGTTGGTTTAGGGTCATTCTCAAATTGGACCCCGTATTATCAATTTTATCAATTTACGCCCTGACGTTTTTAAAATCGTCCAATTTCATCCTTCCGTTAAGTTGACCAGAAGGTCAATCGTTAATTGTTGACGTGGCACCCGTGGGTTCTACCCCACCAGCGCTTTGACCATTCCGCGCATGCCAGTTGAGGGGCAGTTTTGGGTTTCGACAAAAAAAAAAAAAAAAAAAAAAAAAAAAAAAAAAAAACAAAAAAGAACCCAAAATTGGCGCCCAAAATTGGGCTTTACAAGAGCTTTGAGATTGAGAGAGAGAAGCCCCAAATTCGTCCTCAACCTCAATTTAACCTAAATCCTAAATTTTCATAGCTGAGAGCTCAGATCTATGATTTCGAAGAAGTGAGCCACCCAAAAGGTGTATCTGAGTGTATTGGTTTCTTAACCCAGAAAACGAAGGAGAAATGAAGCATAAGGCAATGGTGTGTTGGTGTGGTGAGAATGCGAGAATCCGAACCTCGTGGACAATTTTGAATCCTGGGAGGCGATTCACTGTGTGTGCAAAGATAAAAAATTGGATTTGGTGCAAAATATTATATTTTGAATTGTAGCAGGTGCAAATATTAATTTACAGAGTGGGTTCTGTGCAGGGTAGAGGAGGTTGTGATTTCTGGGTTTGGTATGATGTGGAAATGTGTGAAAGGTCTAAAGTTGTGATTCTTGGGTTGCTAAAATGACGGGATAACTTGGAGAATTCACTAGAAAAGGCTAGACGCAGAGATAAGGTTCTTTGGGCAGCATTGGTGGTGTCATGGATGCTTATTGCAATGTTGTTCTTTGGAGGGAATGGTGGATCAGATGGACTGAAGCTGAAGACTTTGGAATTGGCATGAAAGGGGGTGTTTTAGGGATGCACTGTGCTTTCAGTATGGGAAGTACTGTGCTTGTGGTGTAATGTAGTGTGCTTTTGGTTAGGGTTTGCATTGTGCCTTTCGTATGGAAAGCAGTGTGCTTTTAGTTATGTAATGGGAATGAACATTTTGCATTTTGGTTATGTAATGGGAATGGCTATGTAATCTGCATACAATGTGAAATTTTGGTAATGCAATAGCCTGTTCATTCCAACAACTTGTTTGTACATCATATGAACAAATTCATTTCCACTTGCAACATTACAACAAAATAGGCCACATAATAACATATCCACTTGCAGCATTACAACAAAATAGGCCACAGAACAACATCTACAACCTTCCAAAATAACACAACATGTTTTCCAAAAAGACTAAACCTGTCTTACGAAATATCACAAGTTATCTTCCTAACATAAGGCAACTTGTCTTCCAAAGTGACATAATAACCTAATCCAACCAGCTAATAAAGGTAAAACTGTCTGATGCTCAAAATAACCAAACCAGCTAATAGAACACAGACAAGTGTGCAAGACCATCATTGTTCCTTGCTCAAGTTTGATGCTCCCACAACCATAGGTCGTTTCCTCAATAAATAAGAATTGCAATTGAAGCTTCAGTTGATGTAGGAAGGGCATATCCAGTTGCAAGAGAGGTAGATCCACTTGCAGGATGGGTAGATGTTGAGGATGGAGCAGCTAAATTAGTTGGCGGTGCATTTGAACTTCCAGCTACAATGGTGGCCTTTCTCTTCCATTTTCCTTTATGCACAGATCTTGTAGGCTTAGCTCGCCTTGTTTTTGTACTAGGACCAACTTCACTTGTTTGAGTAGTTTGCTGGGATGAGGAAACAAATAATAAACTGTTAGTTGCATCATATTCCAAAAACATTAAAATTTATAAAATTAACAAATGTTCATCCTTAGATGTTTACCTCAGCCTTCCTTTTTTTTTATTTTTGTTTTTAGGGGGAGATTCCTATGATAAGTCCTTTTATTGTGGCCCTTTCTTCCACATTGGCCACACTTCAGTGAGTCTTGAACTTTTGTAACAACATTGGCCTTCTTGCTGCATTCACCTGCTTCCTTCCTTCTAGCATTTCTTGGCCTTTCAGGTTGTTTGGAGTATGAATGAGGCACACATGGTGGCATATTAGTTCTATCCCACAACTTCATCCCATTCATAAGTATCATATGCCTTGAAATATGTCTGAGTGTGATAACATGCATCCACATAATCCATTATGTTTAGGCCACCATTGTAATTTATAACTACCACTCCATGAACATAAGGCCAACCAGTCAAATCCCATTCTTTGCAGGAACAGGTCCTCAAATCCAAGTCCACAATATACTGTGAAATCCCACCACTGCCAACTTGAAATTTTCCTCCACTTGACCACATAGTCACACAACCACCTGCTTTTGCTTTATTAATCTCTACCTTCTTAAAAATCTTGGGGAAAATTTCCTTTATCCAATTCTTCATTTTGTCCCTTCTGCCTTATATCCTCCTCATCAACTTACACCTAACTATCTCAAGCATGGTTAGTATTGGCTTATATTTGCATGCCAATATAAATGAGTTGAAGGACTCACACATACTGTTTAAAAGCATATCACACTTCACGTGAGTGCTGAAGTGTGATCGAGACCAATGCCTGGGAGGTTTTTCTGGTTTAGTCAGCCAAGCATAAGCATCCTTATCAAGGTTTTTCAGCTCTTCCATCTGTCTTGCAAATTGTGGAACAATTGTTGCTTTTGCAGTGCCCCAGAATTTGTTAGACAAAGATTTCCCTTTGAATTGTAATATGAAGTTGGTGAACAGATGTCTTGCACAAAACCTATGTTCATTATTAGGAACAACTTGCTCAAAAGCTGGTAATAATCATTTTTGCTTGTTTGATATGAAAGTGTATCCAAACTAGTTAACAATCTCTACATCCTTTACCAGCAATTCCAGAAACCAAACCCATGAGTCCTTGCACTCAAACTCAACCACTGCATACACAATCACCCATGTTTCATTATTAGCATATATACCAATTGCTGCTAAAAAGTGCCCTCCATATACACCCTTCAAGAAGTAGCCATCCAATCCAATAATGGGTCTACATCCAACAATGAACCCTGCTTTACATGCACCTAGACACACATATAACCTTTGAAACACTGGATGACCTAATTGTTCATTGAAATCACATTGAACTTTGGTTGTTGTTCCTGGATTGGTCTTCCTTAACTCTTTACAATAATCCCAAATTATGGAGTATTGTTCTGTGTATATTCCCTCAATTTGCCTAAATGCCCTCTCTTTTGCCCTATAAACTTGTTGCCTAGAAACTCCAGTGTTATAATCCTTCTCCACCATCTCCATGAATGAGCTAACTGGCCAACTTGGATTGCTCTTCAATGTTACCATATATTTGGCACTAAGCCAACTAGACTTCACAGTGGGGTTCTCCTAAACAATACCACAAGTGTGTTCACCCTCATATTTCTTAACCTGCAGGGTCTTCTCATGCTGCATTTTGAAAGCATATATCTCCCATGGGCAATCTGGATATGCACAAACTACATTTAGCTTGAAAGCCTCACTTCTCACAAATACAACATCCTTATTTCTTTTTATAAATTGTTCTTTGACAGCCAATCTAAAAACTTTACAATCAATGAACTTCATCCCAACCTCAAACTGTGGATCTGCCATGTTAGTTGCCATATTGAACTCTGGCCATTTATCCGTCATTGGAGTGTCATCATCAGAGTCATATTTAGGCTGCACATTATCAGAATCATACTCCTCTAAATCCAGTTCAACATCTGCACCCCAATCCCAAGATTCAAACCCAGCATTTGTTGACATTGACTCTTTTCCTTTTGCCCCATCTCCAACCCACTTAGTTTGTTTGTCTACCCATTCATCAAAATCGACATCATCATCATTATCATCACAACTAAAGTTAGGGTCTGCAAAATTAGAGTCAAGACTGTCTGCTGACTCCTCCTTATCATCACAGAATGTGGTCATTTTTCTTGCTTTTCTTGTCTTCATTAGATGACATCTTGATAACTTGATCTTTTCTACACTTCCTTCAACAACCTCTTTCTCAACTAGTCCCTCAGTCACTGTATTGGACCTTTGGTCTTCTTTATCATGTGTCTTTTTTACATATTTGCACCTCCTTTTGCAAAAAGCTCTTGCCCTTCTTTTCCCAAAAACAGAACTGACTTTACTTTTCCCTTTGTCTACAGTGGCAGAAGATTCCCTCTCAACAACTTTTTCTTTGTCTTCTTGCACTGCAGAAGATTCCCTCTCTACTGCTTTTTCTTTGCCTTTTTCAGAAACACCTTGTCTTGCACAAGATTCCCTTGGCTTTTGCGTACCCCCACCACTTTGTTCCCCATTTGGGTATTCATTGAGCTCTTCTATCACCACACTTTTTTTTTGTTGCCTCCATTGTTTGCGTTTCCCACCAACAGGAACAATAGCCCCATAATTGTCATCAAGCTCCTCAATCACAACTCCTCTGTTAGGCACAATATCAGCTTTTGACATTCTATCCTTGTCACAATAATCAAACCAAGCTACATTGCCAGAAGCATAACAGTTACCACAGATTTGACCACCGTGGTACATTCGAATAGAAAACAATTTAGGATCACTTACATATTACATGTCCCAAACATAAAACACAACACAAAACACAGTATTCAAACAAAGTATTCACACATTACACAAAAACCATAACTCACTTTTCAATTATTTTCAGTTTAGGACCATTATACAAAATGCCAAATTTTTATTAAACAACCCTTTTCACACCCTTCCACCTAACACTTTTGCCTTACTAAAAGCAAACGCTTTGACCTTATTAAAGGCAGACATTGCCAACACATGCTTAGCCTGAAGGACCATCTATATTTGAAATCTGCAAAAAGGCCACTTATATTCGACAAAATCTTTCATACTTCTCCCACTATTCCACTAAACCTTATAAAACACAACATTCAAACCAGAATAACCCATACGACCTCTAACCCATTCAGCATAGATATCGCAAATCGTAAAAATTTAAACCAACTTACCGTACGAGGGATGCGGAGTGCCTAGAGCCCTCAAATCCCAACTCATTTCTTCTCACTTCTTCGAAATCGTAGAACTTGCTATCAGCTATGGAGATTTAGGATTTAGGTTAAACTGAGGTTGAGGACGAACGACGTTTTGGGGCTTTTTCTTCAGTCTCCTTCTTGCAAAGCGTGCCCAATTTTGGGTGCGATATTCAGTACTTTTTTTTTTTGAATTGTCGAAACCCAAAACTACCCTTCAACTGGCATGCGCGAAATGGTCAAAGCGTTGGTGGGGCGGGTCCCACGAGTGCCACATCAACAGTTAACGAATTGACTATCTGGTCAACTTAACAGAATGATGAAATTGAACGATGTTCAAAACGTCATGGTGTAAATTGATAAAATTTATATTGTGGAGTCCAATTTGAAAATGACCCTAAACCAACAGGGTGTCTTTTGTCGTTAACCCTATTAAAATTTTCACAATTATAGAGCACTTTACGATAAACCCTAAAACCTTTCGATCGATCCATACCCTTGAACAAAAAATGAACAAAAGAAAAGTGAATAAATAATCTCGACAGATACTCTACAACTATATGATTCAGTTGAAACTTCACCGCTACACAGAAACGAACCTTCACAAGTTACAGTCCTCTCTCTCTCTCTCTCTCTCTCTCTCTCTCTCTCTCTCTCTCTCTCTCTCAGTCTGTACCTCTCCCTCCCTCCCTCACTAGCCTATGGCAGAGGATATGGATTCTGATACATGCGTCGGCTTCAAACGAACAATCAAAGAGATCCAAGAAACCCAAACTCTTACACAACGCTCTAACTCTCCATCTGCTGCAATTCCAGAACAAGATAGCCACTCGTCTGAGATCGTTTCTCCGCTGAAACAAGACTCAGATTTCACCGACAAGAGTCCTCCTTGTTCGGTCTCCGATTCCTCTAAGAAGGTCAAGCTTTCACCTCACGGCCAAGTCTCTGAAACCCATCTTGAAGAAATTCAAGAAATGCCCAATTATGTGAGTGGAAAGGCCGAAGCTTGCGGTTTAATTTCTGGCTTAACTGTATCTGATGGAGTTGCTCAAGATTTTATGGAAATTTGTGAAATGGGTCTTGTTTCTGATAGCGAATTTGTGAAAACTGAGACTGAACAGACCCCGGATGATGAGAAAGAAAGGGTTGTTTCGGATTTGGTCGACAAGAAAGGTGAAGGTTCTGTGATAAGTGAAGTGGGTTTTGCTGATATCGAAAAGTTAATGCAAGAGACGAAGTCTGTTACTGAATTGGACTGCAAGGAAGGTGTGGATGCTTCTCTGTCGACTTCTGTTGAAAACAAAGTGGTTTTTGTTGGAAAAGAAGCGGAATCTCAGAGTTCCTTGGAACTGAAAAAGAAGCAATTACTGGAGGAAGTTGAAGCCATTCTTGTGCCTGCAGAAAAGACCCTTGTGCAAAGTGGTACTGATGGGTCTCTCAGTTCTTTCAAGATTGAAGTAATTGATGATACTGCAATGATATCATTGCTTGGCAATGGCTGTGGAAAGGAGTTGGGTTTTCTGGGTCCTGCTAAATGTGTTGCACAGGGGAATGGAAACAAGAATGCAAAAAAAGAAATGAATGGGAAAAAAAAGGCAAGAACCTCGGGAAGGAAGGAAAAAGTGGCTAATCATCTGGTTGAAGCTCATAGCGTGAGTTTAAAGAAAGGGAAAGGAGCAAAGATCTTTTACTCGAGGATGGAGTTGGAGGCCATGAGGTATGTAAACGTGGTTGAACAAAAGAAACTGTGGAAAGATATATACCGTGGACTTGGGCCAGTCGTGGCCAAGGAGTATGAAAATCTGGCAAGTGTTAAGCATCAGAAGAACATCCACAATAACTTTGAACCTCACAAACGCTTTGAGAAGATGGAAGTGCCACCTGGTATTCTTGGTAAGTACAATTTTTTATTATTATTATTTTCTTTATACATTTTGTGGGCTAAATCTTATTAGAACTCAGTTGGATGATGAAATATGATGTATGAAACTTATATGTTCTAGTAATTGTAATTTTTATGGGTTAATTGTTATTAGTATGGAGAGCGGTATTTAAATTAATTTCTTGCAACTTATATCTGATAGTAATTGTAATTTCTATGAGTGAATTGTTTTTAGTCTGGAGATGTGTGTAAAATAATTTGTGGCACCTTATATCTGCTAGTGATTTTGAACTCAATGAACTCCCAGCTTGGTCGTCAAAGAATTGCTCTATCTTTTTCTTTTTAAATTCCTTCTATTGTAATGCATGGCATTCTTAATGTATGAAATAGAAGAATCTTTCAGAATTAGCTTTTGTAGCATTATTAATTTTTATGCAATTCTTCTTTCTAATGAAAAGATCCTTCTATTATAGCATAGCATTCTAAATGTGTGCGAACCACTGTGACAAAGTGTCCATCATAATAGTTTTACAGAACCAGTTCTTTAAACCTCTAGACAACATGATAGAATACTGCTTAAATGACATTTATTTGGTTAGGATAAAGTGCTTATGACTTAATCTCCCAGGTTGTGCCCGGGACTCTATAATAGTTTTGGCTGTTGTCATTGTCAGCATTAAAAGGTTGTTTGGATATTCCCTTACTTTGCTTCGGATTTGTCAATGTAATGATAGAGGTTGAAGAAACTTGCCTACTTTAATGGCGAATAGCCGTTCTGTTTTTTCTTGGTCAAGTTTAGTGGGTGCAGAGGCAATAAATTGCCAATGGACCTTTTTCACAAACAACATTTTTCTTTTTCCTTTTGGCATCATCTTTGCTGAACCATATCTGGTTCCTGCCCCCTTCCCCCTCTATTATGGCCTTAAGTAGCTAGCCTTCGTTCTTGCATTCCCTAACCAGTAAATACGTGGTGTCATTGTTTCTTTGATTACTCAAATAAGTGATATCCTAAACGAATTCCCCTCTCTCACTCTTTCTACTTTGCTAATGAAAACACTCGTCTTTGTTGCCTACTGCCTCATTTAAAGTAGTTTATCAGGTACCTTATTGTTCTATCTCCACATCACTTTGACAAGGAAGCCTGCATTGCCATTCAAGTATATGCATCGTGGCTTTTCATAATGTGACATGTCCAGTATTTTGCCCATTCTATTTCTGACACTCAAAATTCCAGATTATTTGATTTTCAGCACTTAATTTAGACTTATTTTCTTCAGCATTTGAAAATGCTTTGTGGTTGTTTGGATCTGGTGACAATATTTTATCTCTCCTTTTTTTCTTTTGCATTTACTTTAGGCTGTTGTCATTTTGAAATCTATCATTTTCTCAAAGTACATCTCCTATGTTTCTTATTCTACATTAACTCGATTTCTTAAAGATCAAGGGCATAAGATTTTAAATCTTTGTCTTTCTGTTCATTGTTGCACTCATAGTCCTTTACTTTCCGAAGTGCAGCTCTTAACCAGTTTCACAGACTTTCTTCCAATCCTGTAATCCATTTGTGGACATTTATGAATTCTCTTCATATGTCTTTTCTCTCGTTGTTCTTAGCTCTGATTGTGTCAATTTGATGGGTTCAATTTCTGTTGTGCACAGGTGTGGTTGCTTCAAGGGGAAGATGGAATCAAATGAATATCTTTGTGCATTGAAGAATGGCCTAACACAATCTGCAAAAGACTTAATGTCCAACGTTCTCGACATGTGTTTTTTCTTCTGTGTACTTAGGTCCTTGATAGGGTTGTCTTGTGTACTACTTGTATACAGTCCTTGTACATGGAAATTCTTGCTTTTGGTTTCTAGTTTGTGAAACATACTTTAGTCATAAGGATGTTGGTATATACATTCTACCTGTTCATGAACAGTAATAAAAATGATATTCCCATGTAATTTGTAGTTGTTTTGACTGCGCACTTGAATGAAAGGAGTTTCTTTAACCTGTTTACCTTTACTTCTATGGATTTCACTTTTTTTTTTCAGATCAAATCTGTTGTTTCTACATTTGTGTGATATTGCTAAGATTTTTGTGATTACTTTCAGGGGAAGCATTTTCAGAAAATGTGGATATTGAATTAGAAAACTTGGTGAATAATCAAACCCAAGATGCAAGTCCCCTGGACCCTTTTTGCAGTTACAGTGCCACTGATGAACATGGCTACCCATTTCCAGAAAAAGAGTGTAGTGAAGATGATGACAGTGATGAAGATTATGCTAGCATTCAGAGACCTGCCTTTGTGGTTGAAGGAGAACCCAACTTTGATTCTGGTTCACCAGAAGATGGACTTGAATATCTAAGGCGTGTCAGGTATAATTATTTGGTCTTGTCTATACCATCCCCTTCCCCTCAGTATCTGATAGATAATGCTAACTGCCTGCAGTATGTAGGCAATAACATGGTGGCCTTCTTCATGGTATATAGGGCATGGGTTAAATGTTGGTTCTCGAGGGTGATTGGTTGCCTGGGATGACTAGTTGTTATAACCATGACTATTGTCGGAACATATTTCTTAATTACTGAAGTAGATCCTACATTATTGTGACACGGGGAGTTTTCTTTTTTATGCAAAAGATGCAAAATCAGAGGATCAGATTCCTTGCTGTATGGCTGGAAGTCATGAGTTACATTTTAACGCCAGCCTAGTAGAAACCTTCTTTTGAAATTCCTTCTTTTATAGCAAGGATCAGATTCCTTGCTCTACATAATGCTTTTGAAACCTTCTTTTGAGACATGAATGAATTTAGAGAATTTCCAGCAAGCATATGCTTCTCCCTAGGATTGTGTGATGCAACCTAACCTTAGGTATGATGCCTAAGGCCTCTAGGATTGATTGCTAGAACCATATTGATGTCATGATAGTAGTTGTATCATTTCCGCGCTTCCTTAATTCCTTTCTTTAACTGCCAACAATTTGCATCAACCACAAGGACTTATTCACTCAAACAAGATTTTTTCTGCTTATCATTCTTGCATGTCCTGCATCATATTGATTTACTCATTATGGTTTATCTATTTATTTATTCCTTCTTTTCTGCGTCGTTCTTCATTGATGTGTGAAAGTTGAATTTGTCGTTATTTCATCTCATGGTCTGTACGTCCTTGGCGTAAGGGATTACATCTTTCAGGGCTAATACCATATTCATTATTATTTTTTCTGTATATTTTAGAACATAAAAGGACTGTTGACCCACATCTTAGAAAAGCTTAAGATTTTAAATTTATTTTTTTATTTATACGAAACATAGATTTTCATTGAAAAGAAAAGGAGATCACAACATGGGGCAAGGTGTTCCATAAACTACACCCAACTAAAGAACAAAACAGAAAACCAATGAAAACAGAACAAAAGAACAAACTAATATACAACAGTGCTCCAATTAGAAAAACAAAAACAGCATGAAAGGACCAATCCTTCAAATGTGAGGAAACTGAACACATAAGCATTTCCAGAAATGAACACTGTTCCACAAATGATCAATATCCTTCCCCCTAGCAGCCTAAAGAATTCTCCCATTTCTCTCTATCCAAAACAACCCAAAATATTGTCAGCACATCACATCTTCCTAGCACTTTTCCTCTCCATAAAACTTAGTCTACTCACAATGTAATGCATCAAGATTTGATATTCACGAACTCAATCTGGACTCCCTAAACACCCTTATCGTCAATGATGCACAACTGGACAATGGAGCGTTAAATGGTTCAGACATTCAGCATCTCTTTTGCACATTAGTACACACCATTAGGACAAAGATTACAGTAAATTTTCCTCTTCTGCACCATGTAGAAAAAGCTTAAGATTACAACAGTTGTACACTAATAAAAGATTATCATGGTATTACAACATCGACAAATTTAAGATAACAATAGTTGTAGAAAAGCTTCAAATCCCTGCAACTACTATCTTCCGGTTTAAGATTACATAAGGATATGATGGGAAACTTGGTAATTTTGCCTGCTTTTGAATTCTGCATCAGTTATTTTGCAATGACTTGTCTATCTATTATGTCGCTCTTGGTTGAGGTATTTGACCTTGATGTGCAAGAAAAGTCAACGGCCATTTGAGGGCCATGGGGCCACTTAAGAGCTAGATATCACTGTAATGAGCTTCTAAGTTTGGGTGGAAGGCTGAGGTTTACTTTTTTCTTGTCACTACTTACGGTTCATTTATTTATGTAATTTTACTTTTACATTTTTGAAAGGTAATGTAGTGTGGGGTGTGAGCAAGAATTTTTGAAATACACTAGTCGTAAGATTGAGTAGAATGTAGAAACTAATTCGTATACGACTGCATGAGAAGGAATGACAACTTTATGTCTGAGAATTAAAGTCCTAAAATGCATCTTTAGATATTGGCCAAGGGAAAAAAAAGCCTCTTGGACTAGGCTAAATTGGGTTTTCATGCCATTTGGCCATCAGTGTAACATTTGGGGAATCAGGCTAGCAACTCATGTATTTATGGGGGGTCTCTTGAGTTTTCTTGGGAGAGTTGGATGGAAGCCTCAAGGAATGTTTGTAAATATTGCTTACTTCTTGTAGGAGTGGCCATGCCCATCTTGCAATGCTTGTGAGCAGAACGCTTGCTGGAATTTAAAGCACAATATGGAATGGATCAATAATGCATTAATGCCTACATTAGTTTGTTATTTGGATTATTGATTGACAAGATGCACCAGGCTTGATGATAATCTGAGATTGTAGAAAAAGAGGATAGAGGAGATAAGTGGTTGGTAGGCTTGGCTACAGTACTTGTCAGAAATTTTTCTTGGGTGTATTGGTTGCTCTCTTTACAGAGCTGACTTGTAATAGCGAAATTTCTGGTGTGTCTAGCTTTCTGGCCACCACAAAATGTGGGATATCACATGCATTCGAAGAGAAAAGGCTGCATGTTCTGTTGAGTCAATATATAATATCTCATAGAGATATGCATTTTAGTGAAAGATAAGGTCTAGAAGGCTCTCTCCCAGATGCACGTATCTTATTTTTGGTTGATATGATCATTATCATTTGAAATGAGTCTCCAGGTGGAAATTGAGGCTGTTGCTTCGCAACCAATATATCTGGCACATATATAGTCTACTATATATGTCAAATAGATAAAGGTAATCTTGAGAGTTGCACAGATCTCACGATTGGTCTCCATCTTATGCATGTCTGCGTGGTTGAGAAAGAGAGGGTGTGAGTGCCTTGTGTGTGCACTCGTGCTTGCATGCATGAGATAGTGTACTAGAAGTCAATAATTATTTCTACAGTATACTGTATATATGACAATAATCAAAGCAGTATAAACATGTATTTTACATTGTTTTCTGGGTGTTGTATGGTTACCTTTATTACCTGTGCAATCCTATAAAAAAGTAATTTAAATATGGTTGTGAAGGAATGAATACTTTTATCAAAGTGAGAAAGCCACCATGTGAATGGGAAGGGGTTGCACCAGAAGAGATCTTAGCAAAACATTAAGAACAAAAGTGGAAGTAATTCATGACCTTAAACAAAGGCAGATTATTTGGACTGCGAAGGGGGGATTAAATGTATAAGTCAGTATCACCTATTGGCTAAAAGCATTTGAAAATGGTGTACATCTTTTATTACTGATTGCCAACTGAACTTTAGTTGGTGATGTACCCCACTAAAAGCTTGTTCAGAAAATTTATGAACTGCCAGCTGTCGTGAATTGTGTAAGGGTCAAAGTTAAGATGGCATACATTGAGTCTATTTGTTGAGCAAATTCATTGAAGCGACAATTAAACCATAGAGAAGTCTCTATAAACTGATACATTGACCCATTTGAAAGATCACTTGATGCAGATGAAACCACTGAGCTTTGTGTTTAACCAAGTAATGAAACCCAGAGGAGTTCTTAACTGTCCTGATGTTAATTATTGATTATTATTTTTGTTCTCATTAATATTCAAGAGATAAGACTATCTTAGGTATTAATAGGAACCTAGGAGATAGGACCTCTAATATGTTGACACATTTTGCCCATCAATTAGATAAAGCTGTATGTTATGATGCCAATATCTGTCCTGGTTTATGAGGAGCACACTGTTAGAGAGAGTAAAAGATTGGGGAATTCATCCATCAGATCCAGTTCTCTAATCTTGTTCTCATCTGGCTAAATCATATATGAAATTCTCTCTCTCTCTCTCTCTCTCTCTCTCTCTCTCTCTCCAAACCTTAATGATTTTCTATTCTTGAAAAGTTGTATGTAGCTTGAAGCTTTTCGCTAGTTCTCATTTGCCTTAGAACAATGTATGAGGGAGTGGCTTAGGTAGTCTTTCAGTAATATCCTGAGTAAGTTTGAAGTTGATATAGCATTGTTCTAACCGTATTTATCTTTTAGGTGGGAAGCTGCTCGAATTCCAAAAGTGAGAGTAGCCAAGCTTGATAGAAGTAAATTTAACATAGAGCAGAGTGATTATATGCCCAAGATTCCTGAGATTGCCAAGTGTCCAGAACAATTGCTGCCACTGAAACAGTGGGAGGATGCTTTTCTTGCTGAATTTTCAGAGCTAAGGCTGGTATGTTCTCATCCTGATTATTCTTCGTGCTCTTCTTCCTATAGGAGAATTATTATTCGCATGGTAAACATGAAATTTGGTTAAGAAGGTGGTCAGCTCTGCTTGTCTTGGTGCTTCTCTTGACACCAGATTCCTGGATCTCTTTGTGCCTTTATTTTTTACCACAGTGGTTAAGCCTTTTGCATGGAAATATTTTTCCCCCTTCCCTACCTTTGAAAAATTCTCTTTTTGCTGCACATGATGTTTCTAGTTTCTCCATAGACACAGTTGGTGGAAACTAAAGTCATTAAGAATGTGGAGGGTAGAGAATGCATTTTATTGAGGTCTCTGGATTTTGTTAGTCAGGACAATTTTTATTTATCAGACATGTGTTTCTTCTTTGAAAGAGTGTACTTAAGGTAAATGGTTTAGGGTTTAGGGTATTAATATGAACATAGGACCTAAACCCATTATAAAGCTGGAAGAAAGGTAGCCATATTTGGCAATCTTTTGTTTTTTCAATATTCTTTTCCAACATTAAGTGCCATTTTTCCTATTATATAGAACACTTCAATAAACTAGGGATCTTAAGGCGGCAAGGTAATACATTTGATAAAAGGAGAGTTGACTTCATTTTCTGACTTTACTCTGATCTTAATCTCAGGCTCTGTCTCATTTTGAGGGTTATAATGCAAGCACGTCTCAAGATCCCCAATCAAAAAATCTTCTTCATGACTCCCATCAGCTACCTGGGAGTATTGTTTTTGAAAAATTTGTTAATGTTAAATCCAAGGAAATTGACCTCCACTGGCCTCATGACTGTTGCATCCTCGGGAGCTCCATTGATCAGCTTTCCTTGTCGACTACTGAAGGCAGTAATGCCTCTCTGCCTGCTGAGAACTTCAGTCCTAAGTCTCATGTGAGCCAAAGTTCCAGCGACTCCCCTTTGTTGTCGGTGATCTTACGAATGGACTCTGTAGCTCGAGTGTCGATGTTGAGAAAACGCATAAACGCAATAGAGGCCATGAGCACTCTGTCAAGGAATGACTGTCTCTGGCTATTTTCTCTGTGTGCGGTAGTTGATACTCCACTAGATGCCGATACTAGTGCTTCCCTTAGGAGTCTGCTAAGAAGGTGCGCTGCTTTGCGAGCTGCGAAGTATGTACTCGACGACGAGGTAGTAATGTTGAATATTCTTGCCACAATTTCAGGTAGATATTTTGGGCAGTCAGAAAACTGAAGCTTTCTAATATATTACTTCTCTTCTTGAAGAAAGGCTCAGGTATCATTTTATTTCGGGTACGGCGTATTTCTTATCTATACAAATCGAGTGTGAAAATACTTAAACTTGTATCGGCATTGCCGTAATTTTGAACGTACCATGATGGTAGTGCTCTATTTTCTGGTGTGCGCCTGGAATCACTATAAAGGAGTGACACCCCAGTATTTTCCAGTGAGCTGATTGCATTAGATTGGTTCTGGTTGTGAATATTTGACACTGGGTTCTGGTTTTCAGTGGGTTATTTAACGAGTTTTAACACTTCAAATGGCTGCTTGTAATTCTGCGGATGAGTCCCGAGTATCCAGGGTTTTTTTTGGGTCAGTTGTCCTGAGTATCCAGTTTATTATAACAATTGTCTGCTGTAGTAATTTAAATCTTTTCGAATATTTTTTTTTCTATTTTTGGTCAAATCTGTTTGACAAAGTTGAAAGAAAATTCATTTATTTCTATATCTTAATTTTTTTTAAAGATAATAAAAATGGTTGACAAACATTTTCTCAAGCGATTCACTGATTTGGCTAAATTACATGCTTAATCCATTAAGACATTAATAATTTCACAAGTAATAATTTTTGTATGAGTGTTGCTACGAATCTTAAAATGAACTGAGTACAACCTATTACTAAACTATTTATTGAATTATTAATTTAGCCTAATATAAAATGATAAAAAAGGATATATTGAATTGTGAAACAAATATAATTTTAATAAGTACACATTACTCACAATATTCAACCCTAATAAGAAGTTTTCGCATTGCTTAGTGCTCACTACGAACAACGCAGCGAGCAATGATAGAGACGCAAAGGAGGTGTCGTTGAATGTTCATTCAACATTCACTCACTAGGTGAAGCAAAGCCACATTCAATCTGGGGATATGGTGGTGCCTCAAATATTTTCGAATCTCTTAAAGATTCCAAATTCGGATGTGGTCGTAAAGCTTCAAGTATAATTTTATCTTCAAGTGTCCTCTCTTCACTCCAATCAAAATCTAGATTCAAATCAACAAGGTTCCCTCCAGTAATGAGTTCTGCTTTCTCAGCCGCATTCACATTTTGTAGGTTTTCACCACATCTACAAATATGAAGATACCCTTTGAGGTTCGAAATTTTCAAATCTCCCAGCTTAAATGCTTCGTCCTCATCATCACATGATACAACGAGCATATCGAGTGTTAAGAGAAGTTAGCTTAGCAATTCCCCTCGGCAAACTTTCTAGATTAAAACAATAATCAAGGTGAAGATGTCTTAAGTTCACTAGTTTTCTAATTTGCATGCAATCGTTGATCAACAAGGTTTGCAAGTTTGATAAATCACAGTGTCTTCCACAATATTTTCACAGCAGTTTACAAAATTAAAGATTTTGGTGCAAACTCAAAATCTGAAAAAAGGGCACGAATTCATGTAAAAGAGAAACTTGGTTTAGGATTGGTATTAGGGTGTTCTATGATAGAGAGTATTAGGGTGTACTAGGGGTATTTTGGTAGTTAAATAGGGTGTACTTAGTTAATTTTATATTTTGATTTAAATAATATGATGTACTTAAATCATAGGGTGTACTCAGTTAATTTTAATGTTCGTTAGTAGCACTCTTTTCATTTAAGAATTCAAATTCTAAATTTAGGTTTGAAAGCAAATATCATTGCAAGTACAAACTTAGGTTTGAAAGTAAATTTAGGGTGTACTCAGTTATCCACTTGTATATATGTCAATAGTTGAAATAGGCAAGTGAAGCTACAAACTAATGTAACTCAAAACAGTAAACAACAAAAAAAATTCAAATTTCAGATCTATGTTTCTACTATTTTCTATCTATTTTTGTCTTGTTTTATTTTTCTGATTTTCTCTCATTTTTTCTCTCATAGTCAATGGTTCTCGGTGGAACGACGTCGTCAGCCTCTAACTACTTGGGGAAGCTTGCCTACCCCTACCAAGCATTCTAAATTTTTTCCAGTGTCATACATGAGCAATTTGAGTGCCGCCTTCAAATGGAAATAATGGCGCATATTTTACATCTAACATCAATTATGTGCTTTGTCAAAATAGGCTTCTCCTTGGTAGATAACAAGCAGTAATTCTCTTCTAAACTAAACCCGCTTTGAATTGAGGTCCATGACATGAGGCAACCACCTAAGGCCTTGCACTTCTGAAAAATAAAAAGAACCAAACACAAACCCCCCCTCCCCTCTCCCCCCACCCCCCAAGCGAAGCTCTTAATGCCAAAACCCAATGTACTTTCACATTTTCTTCCTAGTTGATTTGATGTTGCTTTTGCTAATCATGAATCCAAATTCATAGATAACATGGAGAAGGTGCTTAGGTGGAGGACGACTCTTACAAAAGCAGCTAATTTGTCTAGGTTTCTTCGAGGGGTACGTAGATTTCTAAACGTTATAAACCTGTACTCTCATACCAGCATTTTTTGGTATTTGTTATTTATTTGAGTTATTATTATTATTTTCATGAAAGAGATACAAAAAAATATACTAATATCTCAAAAGGATGTAGTGATTAATATGCTTTAATTTACACACACACATATATATATATATATATATATAACAAACATATACAAGAAGATACCGTGTTATAGGTTGGGATTGTTCTAGGTGACGGCTAGACACACCACCAACTAAATCTTATGTTATAACATGTTTTTTGTTTATTAATATGAATTTTAAAACATAACTCAGTTTTTTTTTAATGAAAAAAAGGGGGCAAAAACCCCAAAAAACAACCTACACCAGCAAATCAGAAGGAACTAGCCTAGATCTAGTAATTCCTAGCAAATCATCGATCAAACTAGGCCCAACCCAAGCTGGAGCATCAACAAAGATATAAAGACCCAAGTCTAAGTAATAGCTCCAGGTCGCCAAACAATCAGCAACACTGTTTTTCTCTCTGTAAACATGATAAACACTGCAACAGTTGATCTTATGCATCAACTCCCAGCAACTAGCAACTAAGGCTGCAAGAGGATGAACATCAGTAAGGCCCGGCTTCTGGATCAATTGGACAGCAAGTGCTGAATCCATTTCAACAACAAGGTTATTAATCTCTTTGTCCACAGCAAGCTTCAACCCAAAAAATAATCCCCATATTTCTGCCTCAAGAATTTGCCCCTTCCCTAAGTTCACAGCAAAACCACTGATCCAATCTCCAGAGGAATTTCTAATAACACCTCCAGCACCAATATGTCCAGAGCCATTCCTCCTAGACCCGTCAACATTTAACTTGAACTGGCCAGAAATAGGAGGTTCCCACTTAAGATCAACCTCGACGTTATGATTATGCTTACTCAAGACATGAGAAGCCTTAAACCACTCATGGACAGCACGAACAATAAGTTGTTTAGGATCAAAAGGCACATCTTCATCCCCTTGAAAAACTTGGTGATTTCTCCATTTCCACACATACCAACAAGTAAAGATAAACACCAGACTCCAAGGGATATTACTACACCAAACTGCCTAGGAAAGAAGATTAGTCTGAAACCAAGGCAGAAAATCCATTTGAAAGAAATGGCCATGATGGCTAGGCATTCAAACAGTATTCCATATACCTCTAGCCTTATAGCAATCACGAAGAATATGTAAAGTAGTTTCAATAGGCCACTCACAAACACCATGTAGGGGGTTTTTTGTTCCAGTAGCCTGACGAATGGGCCTGGGCTGCTGTAAGAAGACAACGAGCAAAATCCCCCAAATGCCTGAGTTCGAAAAACAAGCTCCCAAGAGGGTTTTTAGAAAATCTAATGAGGTTTTAAAAGAACACTCTCAGGATCACCTCACTAACACCCAAATAAGCATGAGGATTCCATTAATGGATTAGCCTGAGGAGTATGTGGCATGGGAGCTAAGCTTTCACAAGTTTAGCAATTTGAGAGAGAGAAAACAGCGTGGGTTTCTTACAAAAGGAATATTAGTGCGAGCCCTATCCTAAAAGAAGAAGAAAGATGAACAGAAGAGAGGTTTGGGTGGCTTGAGTAAATTCCAGATTGCTTGACAAAACTTGGTCAAACTCTGGATCGTTGATTTGTGGATGTGTTTTCTGGGTAGCAAAAGTCTCCTTTTATAGGCGTTAGGAGCTCTAATTTCGTCTGGTTTTCCTCTTCCTTTTTTCCTTGGCAGCTCCTACTTAGCCCTATTTTGATGAATTTCTCCATCCAAGGAGCATGGGTAAGGAACCCTTTATGGTTCCAATGGTTTGACGCAGCTGGGCTTTCCCATAGAGGGGAAGGCACCACCTGCTTTCCTTATGTTTTCTCCAAGGCAGAGCTTACAGAGGAAAAGGGGAGAGATGAAGCCTTTTGTCCGATGGACACTTCTCTCACCCCCATGGATTTCCTCTGGTCTTGCCATGGCTCCCTTGTGACCATTGCTTGGAATTCAAACGGGAATAGGACTTGACGCCAGATTTTTGCAAGTTGCTGGGCTTGGGCTTGTACATATGGTATTGGGTCCTCTGGCTTTGTTGCTTCTATCGTTTGACAGGCTTTCGTCAAGCTGCTGGAAAGGTTTTCCCTTTTTTAATATTATTGATGTGGGCTGGGCTAAACATCTTGGTAGGTTCTTTGGTGTTTTCCTAGAGCATGGGTCAATTTTTTTTTCTCTCTCTCATGCTAACCCATATGCTTGGTTCTAGGAACGGGCTTGAATTCCAAAGCCCCCAAGTGGTTTTGAAACCTACGTTCCTTGAACCCTCAATGGGCCCCGTGATTGCTTGTTTCCTTCCATACCACAACCTTCTCAGTAAGCCCCGGTTAATTTTGTGGCTTGGGCCCACTTAAGCTCGTGACGTAGCTTGGTATTAGAATGCGCATGATTTCTATGCTCGTGCTTGGGGTTTTATTATGCCGTGATAGGCTATAGTTGGGCCAAGTAGCACCGAATGAGCATGTGAGCGTGATTTAGTAATATCGGTATGTTCTCGGCTCCTTCTGCACGTGCTTGTTTAGCATGATTTGTAGCTTGTAGCTTGTGTTGGCGGCTCTTATAAATTTTCTTTTATCCCGATTGAGCTTATTTTGCATCCAACCACTCATATTGGGCTAAGGGTTAACTTGGGCTTAGCCCCTTGGATTTTTGGGCCTCAACATTAGCCCCCTTGATTATTGGGGCCATGAATAGCTTTGAGATGGGTCAAATAATCAAACCTGGCCCAAAAGAAAAGTCAAATCCAGGCTGCTGATGTGACCTTCCCGTTTCCCGCGTGTGCGCTGCCATGATTATTTTCTAGCGGTCTCTTGCATTTCCCAGGTACGCTTCCATCAATCTTGTTTTATTTTATTTTTCTTTCCTTTTCTTCTCTTGTTTTTTCTCTTTTCGTCTCTGACTCCTCTCTTCTGTGCGCGCGAGCCCTAAAACTAGTTGCCCCCTTTTTGTTTTTGCTGGTTCCTTTTCATACACAGGTCTGGAGAACCCTTGGGAAACGAGAAATCACAGTGAGGCCTCATCCACAACCGCTAGTTGGTTACGCTCAGGAAACCGCTCGCAACCATCGGGGAAAAGCCACGATTCCTCTTTAAAACCCCTCAAATTTCTTTGATTCGCTCTTCAATCCGTCCAAACCCAAGCCTAGCAAAGTCACTTGGCGAAGTGTGGAGCAATTTCTGCTGTGTAATTGCAAGGCAGTTCCCTCCTCTTTCGACTTCGGCAAGCTACTGGAAGAATTCCAGCAATAGCAGTGGTAAGCATCGTTCCCCTTTTTTTTTGTTTTCTACTTCTCGTTACTCTGGGCATATGCATCTATACACATTTACACATACATACGCATATATGTGTATGTGGAGGCACCCTTTATATTTTTTTGAGAATTCCTCATGAACAGGGCACCTTTCTCAGTCTGGGTTTCATCTAATTTCCCAAGCCCTAAGCTCGAATTTCGGGCATAGACCACTGATTTGGGATTTTAAGCGTGCTCAAGGCGATGTCTTGCCTTGATTAACCACAAAACCTCTAGATGGTGCCGAAGCATGGTGGAAGGAATGGGAACAGCCACTCCATGGCTTCCTTCGCATATTCTACCCCTGTGGTTCATTTTTCTCTTTTTTTTTAGCACAAGATAATCTTTTCCCCTCTTATAGGAAAGATTTGCATGATGATATCGAATTAGTCTTCTTTTTCTTCCTTGATATGGTCCTGGCATGATATTACCGAGATGTGCGTGCGTTCAACAATTCGTGAAGGCGCTGGAACTTACGCATTTTGTTCTTTCTTCCTTTCTTGCAGGTGTCCGTGACTTAGTAGGCCTGCCATGGCGTCCACTGACCTTCTACCGATCATGCTAGACCATCTCTACTCCATGGATGACAATCTTAAAGCAGAAGGGCCGCTCCTGTTGCTTGAAGATGCCCGTAAAAATCCCGTTGTTGGTGATGAGCCATCCCCTGAGACTGCTCCTGTAATTAATCCTGCCTCCATATCCAGATGCTGCATTGAAAAGGGCCTCTTTCCAGCCGTTCCCCTATTCTTCCAGTATCTTTGCAGTATCAGTAAAGGTTGGTCAGAATGGGTCGATCGTGAACTGCGGGATCCATCCACATGCAACATCCTGCGCAGAGCACAAGTCCTTGATGCCATCTTCCTTTCCAAATTGTGGGACATCCATATCGAAGCGAAGATGCTTCGTCACGTGGTCCGGAGGTGGAGCACTGCTACTCACACCTTTGTGTGCTCATGGGGGGAATTTACCCCTATGCTTGAAGATGTGGCGAATATCTCTCGCCTTCCTGTCTGTGGCGACCGTAGTCCTTTCGGCATCGCCCTCACTCCAGAAGAAATAGATAACCTTGCAATCTTGCGAAGAGGCGCTCCCACCTCTCCCAGCACTTCACTCTGGTTTAGCAACTGGATACAATATTTTGGGGATGCAAACAGACAGAGTCTCTGCTGTTTGGCTGCCTTTATAGCTCTGTGGCTTGGGCGATTCGTGCTTTGTGACTTTTCTCAGGATTGCCTTCATGAGCGTGTATTTCCTTTGGCTTTGGCCATAGCCCGAGGCGATACGATCCCCTTAGCCCCCATGTTCCTGGGACATCTATACCATCTTCTTAATCGAACCCAGCTTCTGGAAAAGAGTGCATCAGGAACCATGGGTGTGGAGACCCTCCTAAATTCTGGTTTCTTGCAGGTGTTCTTGTGGGAGCGTCTCAAAGGGTTGGATGTGCATTCACTCCCTCATTCGTACGCTATAAAGTTAGCTGACTGAGGCAATGGTTCCTTTATGCCAAACAACCTCCCATTAGTTTGCAGGTGGTTCAAGAGAATGCAGAGGAAAGGCTAGAATTTCTTAAAGCTGCTAGACAATGTCGAGAATTTTGTCTTTCGTCCTTACGGCACCTTAGCAGAGACCTTCACTTTCGTGCCCTTCTATGCTGACATCAGTGATACGGTTGAGATTCCAGCAGCCGTATCGCAGAGTGACCAGTTCCGGAAGTATGCTTTGTTGAATGTTGCTCCCATCCCCTTGCCTACTCTTGGAGACCACTGTGCAGAGGTTTCCGTGACCTACTCTCCACACCGAGTCAGGAGGTAGTTCGGGCTTGACCAAGGGGTACCCAGCAATCCTAACCATGATGACCCTTTTGCTTTACACAGGATCTTCTGGAGCAATGACCACATACCAGCTAGTTGCAGGCCCCTCGTTCTAGCAAGCAAGGCGAGGGTTGGTGGCTTCTCTAGAGGCTACCAAGCCTACTGGAACCGCTGTCTCTCTTCCTTCCGTGAGTTCCAATCCTTTCCCGGGGACAGACTGCCTCATACAACGGCTCGTCTTGCAGGCTTGGTTTCGGAGGAGAAAGCCATCCTTCTTAGCCAAAAACGCAACTTGCCCTTCATTTCCAAGAGTGGTGACATCGTTGGAGAATTTCCTAAGACGAAGCCGAAGCCGGGGGTACAGAGTCCTGGCGGCTCCGGAAAAAGTGCAACGCCAGCGTCAGGCAAAAGGAAGCGAGAGGAGGAGCAAAATGTGAGTGAGAAGCAGACTGCCGGTAAACCCAAAAGGTTCATTCCGAAGGTAGCCCCGAGTGGCCCTCCTCGAACCAAAGAAGCAACTCCCCCGGAACAGCCACAGTCTTCGAAGCCTGCTGTATCCGGGAGCCGGGGTCGCGCTGGCAAGGTGCTGGAAACTACCCCTCTCCGCCGTAAGTGTTCTCGACTTCCAGTACTTCTTCATGCCCCTCTTTTTGCTTTGCGTGCATGATATGTGGGTAGATACTTATTTATTATATACATATTTTTTTTATAGGGAAAATGGGTACAACCCCAAAGAGAAAGAGAAGTGACACACCCCCAGTATCTCCTCAGGTGACCCCTAAACGTCGAAGTGTGCGCATTCTACATGCAAGATTTTCTGGAACTCGCACCAGTAATGTTGAAGCTGCCGGAACCCCAACTGTAGTGACAGTTGACGATGATAGTGATGATAGTGACACCACCGAATCCGAGGCTAATGTTCCAGAGCAAAAGAACGTTGACGATGCTAGTGAAGATTCTGACAGGGACTTTAATGAGGGTTGCAGTGAGGATGCATTTGCTTATTCCAGCGACTATCCAGGAGGACAAGGTGGTTCATATGTTTTCTTCGAGTCCGCTGGTAGCAGTACATGCCGTTTTAGCGCTGAGCAGGTAACTGACGCGTTTTAAGTTTTGTCCCCTTCTCCTTCCTTACACCATAATCTGTACACTCGACGCGTGCTCATCCTGCAGGTTATTGACATTGCTGAGGACCCAAACCCTGCTGCAGCCATTGCTGATCCTGCCCGGACCCCTTTTGAGGTATCCGTACCGATAATATTCTATTTACCTTCTTCTCCTACTCATCTGCCAATACCCATCACCTGTCAATTATCTTGTATTAATCCCTGCATGCACCCTTTTTTTTTGCAGGCTGAGCATGTCACTTCAAATTTGGAAATTATGCCCGTAGTACCTTCTCCCTTCAACACATTCGATACACTGGTCGAGGCAGCCCTTGCAGGATCCTTTCCAACCATGACACCAACGGATTCTCGGGATGAAACACCTACGCTCCAAGTTACGAACCCTTTACCACCTATCTTCCGGCATTTTCTCCAGAGGGACCTTGATCCTGCCATTTCGCCAGCCTTTCCAGCAGCCTTTCGGAGCAACACCTTTGTCGTCCATACAACCCTGCCCGTTCCATCTCACGTTCAACCACTTCTCCGGGCGACAGGGCCTAGTCCCCTAGCACTTCTTCCAGCGGTTCAATGTGACAATGCGAGCGCTGCTGAAAACGCCCAGGCTATCATTACCGTCGTCGGGAATGCTGCTGCAGAACACCCTCGCGGCATGTCTTGGCTGGAGTGGGAGGAATCATTTACTGCCTTCATGGCTTTCTTTGACAGTGGTGCTCAGGTCCTTTGATCCGCAGATGAACTCCTACCGCTCTACCATCGGTTTAATGGTTACGCACTCTTTCATGGACATGACTGGTATTACCTCTTCCTTCTCACGCTGTGCTGCTTTCCGGACCCTCGGCTTGGTGCTCCATGGGATGGATACCGCGCAGCTGCTGGACATTACTAATCACAGGCTCCTTTGCTGGCGGGATGCAGTTTGCGAGGCTATGACTCTGGGCTTTCGAGCAGAGTCTCTTCTGAACCTGGTGAAGGGTTTGGCACGTGCTGCATTTGGGGCACGGGCTGTTCATAACATGAAGTCAAATCCCTGCCCTGATGAAATAAGGGCAGCAGCAGAGGCTTTGGTCTTCAAGCAGCATGAACTGGAAAACCAGCGCAGGGAATTGCGTGGCCTCCTTTCTGCCCAAGGTGTCTCTTCCGACAGTGCTGACTGCGTGATGGAGGCAGTGACAAGATCTTCTCACGGGGCCTCCTCGGTTCCCTTCTAGCCATCCTTAATGGTACTTTGAGGTTCGTGACTCTTCGTCCTTCCCTCATGTTCTCTCATTCTACATATGTTCAATGTTACTCTGATTTCTCCTGACATTCCTTTTTGTTCTGTTTTGCAGGTCTCATTTTGCTTGGTGTAGGATTGACTAGCTTGACACATTCTAGGGTTTCGTTCGAGATTGAAGCACACATTACTTCTTAGCCTGTATAGCTTGACTTGACTTATGTTGTAAAACTTGTACTGTGGCAGCTTGGTATTTTAGTGCTGTTGTGTTCCAGCTGCCGGAACCTATGTTCCCCCCTTTTTTCTTTTTGCTAGAAACACATTGTAGCTTTTATTTAACATGTATAAAATGCCTGGTTGGTAGAATCCTTCGCTTGCATTTTTTTTTCTACAGATTGGGTATCCTTTTGAAGTATGGTGGTTGTTGCCAAAATTTTGTTAGGATGGCCCCTTGACACTGCCTATTTTCTTTGAAGGTTCTCGGACCTTATGAGCATGCTAGCTTCCTTTTGCGGGTGCTTAGCTTGGCTTGCTCCTTTTCCTTTTGCCAAAGCGTGAAAGCTGCTACAGACTTAGGATCCCATTCAAATGGCTTTGCTTGGCATGTCTTTTGCTAAGTAATATTTTCCTCTGCTTTTTTTTATATATCCGCCGTATATTTATATGTAATTGTAAACGCATGTTCAAAAAGAAATTCGAGGTACGAAGAAGGGCAAACTTTCAGAGACAATTTTTTTTTCAAAATACTCCTTCATTTTCATTTCAAACCCCATGCTACCATGATGATACAAAAGTTTTTCAAAACAAAGAGCATATAGAAGGAGACAACATTTTTTAGATAAAAGGAAATGCAATAATATGAAAATAAGATATTATGCCTACTTAGCAGTAGTAGGGCTTGAGCCATTTTCCATTGATGGGATCTGTTAGCATGCCTTCCTTGACAGAGATCAAGCGATAATAACCGCTGCTGTGTACCTCCTTGACTGCGAATGGACCCTCCCATTGTGGGGCAAATTTGGAAGGTCCTGACATTGGCCTTCTCACATGTTCAACGACTTTTAGCACGAGATCTCCCTGCTTGAAGGCTTGAGGCTTAACGGTCCTGTTATAGGCTTGGGCAACAGTCTTGTTGTAAAGTGCCATCCTTCTTTCAGCTTCCATCCTTTTCTCATCAACTGCTTCGAGATCTAGCAAACGCCAATCTGAGCATGTCTTTGCATCCCATTCAAGATCATTGACAGCTGCTATCCTGGCTGTTGGAATGGTGATTTCCACGGGTGAAATAGCCTCAGATCCGTACACAAGTGAGTAAGGTGAAAAACCTGTAGCGCTCCTTGGTGAGGTGCGATAAGCCCACAAAGCATCCGGCAGGTGAACACTCCAGCCTCCTTGATACTCATATACCATCTTGCTTAGAATCCTCAATATCGTCTTATTGGTAGCTTCCGCTTGACCGTTTCCCTGCGGGTAATAAGGCGTAGAGCGACGATGCTTGATACCGTACCCACTAAGGGTTGAACTCACTTGCTTGTTAACAAAAGGTGTGCCATTGTCGGTGACCATCTTGTATGGGATTCCGAACCTACACACAATGTATTCCCGAATGAAATTCGAGACAGCAGCTCCTGTGGCCTTTCGAAGGGGAATTGCCTCAACCCATTTCGTGAAATACTCCGTAGCGGTGAGGATCCATATGTAGCCATCGGAAGGGGGATGGATTGTCCCAATTAAATCAAGCCCCCAAGTATGGAAAGGCCAGGGAGTGCGCATGTCTTGCAGCAATGTAGGAGGTTTGTGGCTTAGATTAGCATAGATTTGGCATGTGTGGCATTTCTTAACAAAGTCATGTGCATCCTTCTTCATGGTAGGCCAATAATACCCAATGCTTAGTAGCTGTCGGTGAAGCTTCTTCATTCCTTGGTGCTCTCCACACTCTCCCGCATGTATCTCTTGCATGGCTTGACGTGCCTCTGATTCTCCCAAGCATTTTAATGGCTCACCATTAAACCCCTTCCGATAGAGAGTTGACCCATCAACAAAATACCTCTTCATGGTCTTTTTGAGCTTATAGGCAAGCTTGGGGTTGGTCGGCAGAGTTCCTCCAACAAAGAATGCCAAGTATGGAGCCCGCCAATCTTCTGCAAATGAAACAGTGAATGACTCCTCTGTAGAGGGTATCGTAGAACAGGTGGGACAATCGGATTGTAGTTTAGCTGCTTGCTTCTTCATCTCTGGCCAATAATAACCTTTGCGTTGCAAGCGCCGGTACAGGCTGATTACTGGTTCCAAGCCGCAAGTGGCATCGTGTACCTCTTGCAACCTCCTTCTTGCTTCTGCCATCCCAACACACCGGGTCAGAACACCTCCCGGAAGACGTCTGTAGAGTTCCCCAAAGATAGTCACATAGTCTTTCAAGTCTTTAATGCTGCTCTCCTCACCTAATTTTTTCTTCAGTGGCTTCCTCCAATCATCCTCTTCCAGCAGGTCCCCCTGGGCCATTGCTTCGACCACTGGTGTGCTTCTCCTTATCACGGTGATGTTGGGCTGTTCTTGCACAAATGAGAGCTTTGATCCCAATGTGGCCAAAGCATCAGCGTACCTATTGGTGGCTCCTGGAATGTGCTCCATCACGATTTGCTTGAAGGAATTAATGAGCCTTTCAGCAGCTGTCCGATATGGTGCCAAGGTTGCTTCCTTCACCGCAAAGCTTCCTTGCAATTGACTTAGTACCAGGTTCGAATCGCAGATGATCTTCACCTTTTCTGCGCCCATTTCTCTTGCTGTGGACAATCCCACAATAAAAGCTTCGTATTTTGCCACGTTATTCGTGCATGGAAAGTCTAGCTTGAATGAGAGAGCCGTAGCTTGCCCATAGGGATTAATGAGCACAACACCTGCCCCTCCACCTTTTGATGTGGAAGACCCATCAAAGTAGAGGGTCCATGGTTCCTCCTCTGTAACAGTAGCAACCATTTCCGGCAGCTCTCCCAGGACTTCCTTGGAAAGGGTTGATCCTTCTACTTCGGAATAGAGCTAGCATGTCAATCACAGCTTGTCCCTTGATGGCCTTAGGAGTTGTGCATATGATATCAAATTCGGAAAGCTGCAATAACCAACGTGCGAGACGACCGGATAATACCGGCCTTGTGAGCAGATATCTTACGGGATCGGACTTTACTATGAGTTGTAACTTGTGAGCAAGGAAGTAGTGTCGCAAGCGCTGCGCAGCATAGACAAGAGCAAGGCATAAGAGTTCCGTTTTTGGGGTACCTTGCTTCAGCTCCCCTCAGTTGTCGGCTTACATAATAAACGGGGCTTTCCTCCCCGTCATGGCCATCCTGCGCAAGCAAAGCTCCAACCGCAGCATTCGTCGCAGCCAAGTAAAGTTTGAGTGGAAGTCCTGGAATAGGTGCCTTCATCGTGGGCAGCTTGGTGATCAGTTGTTGTACCCGTTGGTAAGCTTCTTGGCATCCCTGGCTCCATATATATGGCTTCCCTTTTTTAAGGAGAGGAGTGAAAACACTCATCATTGCAGCGAGGCCTGGAATAAAACGCCGAATGTATAACAATCTTCCCATGAAACTTTTCAACTCCTTTGGATTCTTAGGTGGTGCAAGAGAGCATATGGCTTTGGTTTTCTCAGAATCCACATCTATACCACGCTGGTGTACCTGAAAGCCCAGGAACTTGCCAGATGAGACTCCGAATGCGCATTTCTTTGGGTTCATTTTTAACCCATACAACCGGCACCTTTCCAGCACCCGCCTCAGAACTCCCTGATGACTTTCTCTGGTTTTGGATTTTACTACGAGGTCATCCACATAGTCTTCCACCTATTTTCCCATCATATCATGAAACACTGCCGTCATGGCCCGTTGGTAGGTAGCACCGGCATTTTTGAGACCAAATGGCATGACCGTGTAGTAGAAATTTCCATAAGGTGTCCGAAAGGCTGTTTTCTCGGCATCCTTGGGAGACATCTTGATTTGATTATAGCCACTAAATCCGTCCATGAAGGATAGCATGCCTTGACCCGAGGTTGAATCAATCAAGATATCCATGTTGGGCAGCGGGAACTCATCTTTTGGGCAGGCTCGATTGAGATCACGGTAGTCTGTGCATATTCTGATTACCCCAGTTTTCTTCTTCACGGGTACGATATTTGCTAGCCATGTCGGGTGTTTGATTGGCTTGATGAATCCAGCGGCTAGCAGTTTTTCAACTTCCACCTTGATTTGCTTCTCAATTTCAGGATGAAAATTCCTTCGTGGTTGTACAACAGGTCTTGCACCGAGCTCAATATTCAGCGTATGACTTACCAAGTTTGGATTAAGGCCGGGCATCTCTTCGTAACTCCAAGCAAACACATCTCGAAATTCTTTCAATAACGACACCAAAGCTTCCCTTTCTTCCCCCGTTAAATGAATACTGACAGAGATGAGTCTTGGGGCAGAGGGGTCATCACTTAAATTAACTGTTTCCAACCGCTCAGCTACTGCCGTTGAGCCATCTTGCATGTGCTTGGGTGCTATCATTGGTTCTTGGAAAGGACAAGGCAAGGGTGCCTTGCCATCTAGACTCCCGCGGCTGTCTGCTTGCATAGCTTCTCCACCATACTCGGGGCTTTCCCGTAGGATACGGTCAAGCCCCCAATCCCGTCATAAGCGATATACACTGCGCCCATCTGGCAGCGTAACCTTTGAGCATTGAGGATGATCGTAGGCATGGTTGTTGGCCTCCGAGTGCCTTTTTCTTTCTCGATCGACGATGGTTATGAGCTCCTCATTGCTCAGATCACGAATCTCGGTCCACGATGGCAGGTAAGTCCCAGAATTCTTGGATGGGTTGCTTCCGGCGCCTGTGCACTCAGTGTAGAATTCTGCCTCGGAGTAGTGAGCTTCGCTTTGATTGAACGGTGCTTGATTCCCTGGTATACGGAGTGGTCTTAGCCCAATTCTTCCTTTTACACATTGATGGTACGTAGAGACCACAAGTTTATGTTTGTTGAGCCATGGCCTTCCCAACAAAGCATGATAAGCCACATCTACGTCCACCACATAGAACTTGGTAAGTGACCGGATGGGCCCTACCTTCAAATTTACTTGCATATATCCAACCGTAACCTCACTTTGATTCCCAAAACCGCTAATGCTCGTTTGGGACTGCACGATCTTGGATAGTGGAATACCAGCTGCTGTAAGTACAGACAGAGGCAAGATGTTAACAGAAGAACCCGTGTCTACCAGAGCCCTCCGTATGAACACATCATTGATTTGTCCCTCCAGGTAAAGCGGCCTCCTATGATCCGGGTATGGAACTTCCATGTCCTCGTCTGTGAAAACAATAGCATTGTCATTTTCCAAGAATAACCTTTGAGGTTGAGCAGTGAAGCAATGGGGGTTGGTTCCTGCAGAAATATTCATAAGGGCTACAGCAGCTGCTTCCCTCGCTTGAAGCCCGAAACCAAGTTGGTCAAAGAGTGACTTAACTCTAAGATTCCTCTGGAGGGCCTGTGAAGCTGTGGGTCCTTGCTTCGAGCCCAGATATCGTTCCATTACAGTCACCTCAGCTTCTGTAAGGGTGTGAAATGTCACAGCAGACGTTTCCTGCTGTCCGGACGAGGCTTTTTGGCATTGTTCTTCCGGCATGTCCAACATGAACACCCCATTGTCTGCACAGCCATCCCATCCATCAGCGAGTGGCCATGGCGTGTCGTAGCTTGACGGTTTCAAGTATTTGCACCAGTAAGCTTTATCCATGTTTCCACAAGGCTCCCAAATAGCCTCTGGTGGCTTTGGATCATTCCTCCATGGGTGGCACAATTCGTCATCGTCGAGCAAATCATCTGAACACGTAATAACAACAGCTGTTTCTTTCCCCCTCCGTTTTGGCAAAGGGTCCTCATCAATAGCCTGCTTCCTAGAGGGAAGCTCAAGAACTACCTCATGTATTTTGCCATGTTAGATCCTCCTTAAACTCTGACAAGCGGTGGTTGGATGTCTTACAAACTGGTGGTAGCGACAGTATCTGGGATCACTTTTTTCTTCCCTGGTGGGGACCTTGTAGGGCCTGAGAGGTTTGATTGCGCTGTTAGCAATCATTGTGTCGAGGATGGCATGAAACTCTTCATCTTTGCAAGGCAATGGCGGGTACGTCTCCCTATCTTTTCGTTTGCGTGAGCTGTAGTCATTAAATGGCTTCTCATCCGTGGCTAACACCTGATGTGATTCCTTCTTCTCACTCCTCCAGCCCCTTTGTCCAGTCGGTTTGACAGACATGCTCGTCTTTCTTACTGCTTCCAGCAGCCGGGAAAATTGGCTTATGCCAATATTTTCCAAGTATACCCTATAGTCTGCCACAATGTTGCTGATGCAAATCTCAACAAGTGCCTCATCATCTTTTTCGTCATAGCAATCGAGAGCCAAGTCCTGGAATCTTCTCACGAAGTCCACGGGATCCTCCCCTTGCTTTTGGCGAGTGTTGTTGAGCTGCGTGGTGGTGACCCTCTCCTCGTGCTGAAAATATTTTTTACAAAACCTGCTTGCCAAATCGTCCCAAGAACGCATAGAGCCTGGTGCCAATGTGGTGTACCATGTATAAGCCCGATCGGTGAGGCTCTTTGAGAATTCTCGGAGTCGCAGATTATAATCACCAGCGTGTGGCCCCAAAGCATCAAGGAATCGTTGACATGTTCCTTCGGGTTTCCTTTCCTCCCATCGAAGAGAACAAAGGTTGGTGTTTCGTAACCTTTGGGATAGGGCTGCTGGAGTAAACTTGTTGGGTACGGTGGCTGAGGAATGTACTTCCAATCCTCCTGACTTCGACTAAGCTCCCTTTCCAGCATGGCAACGACATCCTCCTGGGTGACAAAAGACGGTCCCCTTTGTTCAGACCCCTTTCCAGCAGCGGCAGATTCTTCTTGCGGACGTCTATCCTCTTCGCTTGGCTTGGAAGCAGCATTTTTAATTCTTTTATTGTGTCCATCATCTCCTTCTGGGTTTCCCCCATGGCCTGCATAGCCGTGATGAGATCAGTGAGGGTGAAGGCTTCCTCACTTGCACGTTCTTGTCCTCTAAAGGAAGCATTTTGCCTTGATTCAGAATCACCATGGTCGGGTCCATCTTGGGAGGCCATGGTGTTGCTTCGGGTTTTCTTTCTTGGAGGCATTAGTAAGATGGCAGCTTGTTCCCCAGCAGAGTCGCCAATTTATGTAGGGGGTTTTTTGTTCCAGTAGCCTGACGAATGGGCCTGGCTGCTGTAAGAAGACAACGAGCAAAATCCCCCAAATGCCTGAGTTCGAAAAACAAGCTCCCAAGAGGGTTTTTAGAAAATCTAGTGAGGTTTTAAAAGAACACTCTCAGGATCACCTCACTAACACCCAAATAAGCATGAGGATTCCATTAATGGATTAGCCTGAGGAGTATGTGGCATGGGAGCTAAGCTTTCACAAGTTTAGCAATTTGAGAGAGAGAAAACAGCGTGGGTTTCTTACAAAAGGAATATTAGTGCGAGCCCTATCCTAAAAGAAGAAGAAAGATGAACAGAAGAGAGGTTTGGGTGGCTTGAGTAAATTCCAGATTGCTTGACAAAGCTTGGTCAAACTTTGGATCGTTGATTTGTGGATGTGTTTTCTGGGTAGCAAAAGTCTCCTTTTATAGGCATTAGGAGCTCTAATTTTGTCTGGTTTTCCTCTTCCTTTTTTCCTTGGCAGCTCCTACTTAGCCCTATTTTGATGAATTTCTCCATCCAAGGAGCATGGGTAATGAACCCTTTATGGTTCCAATGGTTTGACGCAGCTGGGCTTTCCCATAGAGGGGAAGGCGCCACCTGCTTTCCTTATGTTTTCTCCAAGGCAGAGCTTACAGAGGAAAAGGGGAGAGATGAAGCCTTTTGTCCGATGGACACTTCTCTCACCCCCATGAATTTCCTCTGGTCTTGCCATGGCTCCCTTGTGACCATTGCTTGGAATTCAAACGGGAATAGGACTTGACGCCAGATTTTTGCAAGTTGCTGGGCTTGGGCTTGTACATATGGTATTGGGTCCTCTGGCTTTGTTGCTTCTATCGTTTGACAGGCTTTCGTCAAGCTGCTGGAAAGGTTTTCCCTTTTTTAATATTATTGATGTGGGCTGGGCTAAACATCTTGGTAGGTTCTTTGGTGTTTTCCTAGAGCATGGGTCAATTTTTTTTTCTCTCTCTCTCATGCTAACCCATATGCTTGGGTTCTAGGAACGGGCTTGAATTCCAAAGCCCCCAAGTGCTTTTGAAACCTACGTTCCTTGAACCCTCAATGGGCCCCGTGATTGCTTGTTTCCTTCCATACCACAACCTTCTCAGTAAGCCCCGGTTAATTTTGTGGCTTGGGCCCACTTAAGCTCGTGACGTAGCTTGGTATTAGAATGCGCATGATTTCTATGCTCGTGCTTGGGGTTTTATTATGCCGTGATAGGCTATAGTTGGGCCAAGTAGCACCGAATGAGCATGTGAGCGTGATTTAGTAATATCGGTATGTTCTCGGCTCCTTCTGCACGTGCTTGTTTAGCATGATTTGTAGCTTGTAGCTTGTGTTGGCGGCTCTTATAAATTTTCTTTTATCCCGATTGAGCTTATTTTGCATCCAACCACTCATATTGGGCTAAGGGTTAACTTGGGCTTAGCCCCTTGGATTTTTGGGCCTCAACATTAGCCCCCTTGATTATTGGGGCCATGAATAGCTTTGAGATGGGTCAAATAATCAAACCTGGCCCAAAAGAAAAGTCAAATCCAGGCTGCTGACGTGACCTTCCCGTTTCCCGCGTGTGCGCTGCCATGATTATTTTCTAGCGGTCTCTTGCATTTCCCAGGTACGCTTCCACCATTCATGCAAATTTGATACCTCATAGTAGAAACACAACTCAAAATCAATTTAGTGATAGGACAAGGCAACCCCAACTCCACTAACACATGCTCAACAAACTTCCAATTTAATCTGTCGTAAGCCTTAGACAAATCAATTTTCCAGGCCATATAGCCTTTCTTCCCCTTAGATAGCTTAAATTTATGCATCAACTCCTGAGCAATAAGTATGTTATCTGTGATTTGCCTACCAGGCACTAAACTTACCTAGTTAGGGCTGATGATGTGAGGCAAAACATGTCTTAATCTAGCAACCAAAACTTTGGAAATAACTTTATAAAGGGTAGAGCAAAGGCTTATGGGTCGAAAATGCACCATAGTTTGCGGGTTGTCAACTTTAAGGACCAAGGTGATTAGAGTATAGTTAAGCTTCTCTGGGATTCGACACTCCTTAAAAGCATTCACCACCATTTGAAAAATATCACTAGTACATTGATTCCACTGACTCTGATAAAAACAAGCAGGGAACCCATCTACACGAGGAGCTTTAAGCCCACCAATATTAAAAAGACTAGTCTTAACCTCATCCATATTAATTGGTTGAACCAACCCATGCAGATCAGCCACATCAATAGGGGGGAAAAGGTTAGGGAGATCAACCACATAATCACCAAGAGAAGTAGTAGAAAAGAGATTGGAAAAATGATCCATCGCCAAGTTTTTTAAGCTATTAGCCTCCTCAATCCAAATACCATTAGTATTCTTCAACCTTTCAATCTTATTTCTTCTCCTTCTTATGATAGTAGTAGTGTGGAAAAACTTGGTGTTTCTATCACCATCTTGTAGCCAAGTAATTCTCGATTTTTGTTGCCAAAACACAGCTTCTTGCTGAAGAATATTATTAAAATCATCAATCAAAGAGGTTTCCAAATTACTAAGAAACCTATTAGGCCCCTTGCATAAAGCTCTCTGGATACCAGTAATTCGAGCCAACAACCAACTTTTTCTTTGGCCCAGCTATCCAAAAACATTGATATTCCAATGTTTAAGACGCTCAATTAAGGCAAAAGTCTTCTCCACAGTTGTACCATCACTAGGACCCCAAGCTTCATAAATAAAATCATTAAACTTCTCGTGATGCAGCCACATCGCTTCAAATCTAAAAAGCCTTAAGGCGGGGGAGGACACGAAGTAAGACAGATCTTAATAGGGTTATGATCCGACTTGGTTCTTGGCAAATGTCTCACAGTGGCTTCAGCAAACAATCCCCTCCACTCCCAATTACATATAGCTCGATCAAGCCTTTCAAAGACTTTCTTATTATTCCAAGTAAATTTTGGGCCCAAGAAACCCAAATCAACCATAGCATTGCAATCAAACAAGCTTCTAAAACCTTTCAATCTACAAACAGGAGCTCCTTCTAGCTTATCATTCACATTCAACATTTCATTAAAATCACCAGCAATTAACCAAGGCAAATGTTGACTGTCAGCGATAAAACTTAGATACTCTCATAGCTTACCTCTTTTAATACCACAAGGGCTAGCATACACAGCTGTAAACAACCAAGGAGACTGGCCAAGCCAGGCCACAGAAGCATAAATAGATTGGTTTGAAGTCCCCAAAATATCAACATGTGCTTTAGTGGCATCCCATAGCAACCATAGACCACCAGAAAAACCAGTAGCATCCACAATTTCAAAATTAGAGAAACCAAGGGATTGAGCAATAGAAGTAGCCTTACCACCGCTTATACGAGGCTCAAAAATGAACAAGATGTCCATATGATGAGAATGGATCAAATCCATCATATTAGTCTTGAATTTTGTGCAAGCAGCACCTCGAACATTCCAGTAGACAATATTCATAAAAACAAGTAGAAAGATAAGAGGACCCAAGGGCTAAACCCTTTATTAAATACCAACAGTCATACCTCCACCATCGCTGAAGGTATTGCCTGCCAAGTTCCCACCACATAGATTAACTTGACCTTCCAAAAGATCCATTTTATCAGCTTGACACAAGCTATCAGAAATATTAGAGTTCAACGTATCCTCATCACCCTCAGAATCTGTGCTCCCCACCCTATTAGCATCTTTCTCACTTATATTAGGCGGTTGATGACCAAAGATGTAGACACCTTTCTCATAGTGACTCTTTTGATTAGTGACCCAACTAGTGATTTGATCATTAACAGGGCTAGAACAATCAAACTTCTTTCCCTGAACAACCATCTTTCCAATACGAGTTACAGTTCCAGCAGACACATTTGAAGGACCACCACCTTTCCTGAAACTCATATCACCAAGAATTTTCCATCGCTAAAGGTATTGCCGAAGCCACGCCATCCAGATCCTCTAGCCCACTCTGGTCGTCGCCCCACTTCCCCCCTCCCCCTCCCCCTCCCCAAAAAAAAAAAAAAAAAAAAAAAAATGAGCAGCCTCCCCCCCTCCCTGATTCCTGTTTTTCTTTTCTTCCTAATGTTATGTTTTGGTTTTAATGAAGTTTCAATATATTTTTAATACAAATTTATAAATAAACCCAATCCTAGACATGTATTTATAAAAAAACCCAAGCACTATTTAAACATAGAAACACACCCAAAATCAACCATAAAGTCAACTTTTTGGGTGTATTTATAAATGGGTTTTGAGTGTATGTAATGATGAGTTTTGGGTGTGTTTATATGTTTAAATAGTGCTTGGGTTTTTTTATAATTTCAACCCCCATTTTGGGTGTTTTAGTGAAACTCCCTATTTTTAAATTAATTCAATTTCTAAAATCAATTTCAAATAAGTTTATAGGTTTTCAACAAAAAAGAAAAAAGAAAAAAAAATCATTTATATTTACTTAACAGCAATTTAAATGGAATGAACCACATTGGCTACCGATCTTAAACAAGGGGACCAAATTGGCCAAATTAAAAATACAAGGATAAAATTGGCCAACGTGATAAAACACAAGGACTATTTTAACTTTTAAGCCATATACCTTGAAGCTCTTTAAACCTGCCAAAGTTCAAAATCTCCTGCATGAAAAGAAAATACGATAACAAAAGAAGGAGATTAAAAAAAAAAAAGGTTATCTACAGTAGACGTCCCTGAACTTGGCCCCCAGTTGCAATTGGGTCCGTGACTTTTTTTTGTGCCAATTACATCCTTTAACTGGACAAACAGTTGCAATTAGGTCCTGTCATCCAACTCTGTCAATTTGTCTGTCAAAATGAGGGGTAAAAGCTTCCTTTCGAGTCTGAAGACTCTCCTTCGTTCGAGGGCTTTAATGGTGAAAGATTCTAAATTAATTCATACATCCATTACAACCATTTGAAAGATCTTTCCAAATTCAACATGTGTTATTAGTTACACCCTCACATAACACGTTAACTTGTAAATAAGGGTAGTTTTGGAATCCGAAAAATATAATAAATCAGATTTTAAGCTAGATTAGATAACTTGCTTACTTGGATCCTAGTCATCGGGTTTTATTTGAAAACATTGGGTATTTTAAATAGAAAAATAAAGGAAAGGTTTGTAGGTGATTAAAAATGAATTTTATGGATCTAAGCTCAAAGATGACATGTAGATGGAAATTGCATTGCATAAGGTAATAGTATAAAGGATTCCAAGTCCAGAACATAAAATATTACAAGAAATATTTTCTTCACAGTAACTTGAAAGACATTGGTGGTGCTCTTTTCTCCCTTGGGGTTTCTTCCGTGTAGTTTTCCTAGAAAGGTTTTAATAAGGCCATTGTGTTCATGCTTGTCTTTTTGTATGGATTATTGGATTATAAATGGAATCTCTTTTGCTCTCAAAAAAAGAAGAGCTTGTGCCACTATCCATACAAGAACCGGTTGATAAAGAAGAGACATACCACGGCTCGGTTATTTGGCTTTGATCATATTCCACCTCTGCAAAATTTTGTTGGACACCAGAAGCTTTAACTGACAATTGAATTCCCTCCAACTCTACTGCCACTTCTTTCATAGTAGGACGCTTTCTTCCATTCAAATTCAAGCATGCTTTTGCAAGATTAGCAACGGCCACAATCTGGTCTTTTCCACCATCCTTCATAACTTGAGCATCAAGAATAGCAAACAAATTATTATCCTCCATGGACAGAAGGAAATAAGTTGCTAGGCTTCTGCTTTCTGGTGACCTCATGAATGAAACTGGTTTTTGTCCGGTCAAGAGCTCAGCAAGGACGACTCCAAAGCTATAAACATCACTCTTCTCTGTAAATTGGCTAGATTGGAAGTATTCTGGGTCCAGATAACCAAATGTTCCACGTACTAGTGTTGTAAGGTGCGTTTGGTCAATGGAAATTGACCTTGAAGTCCCAAAGTCTGCTACTTTGGCTCTGTATTTTTCATCCAAGAGTATGTTAGAAGACTTGACGTCCCGGTGGTAAATTGGAAAGGAAGCTGCAGAATGTAAGTAGGAAAGTGCTCCTGCAACTTCGATTGAAACTCTTAATCTCGTTTCCCATGTAAGAGGGAACTCCTCATTCTGGTGATGAATATATTGAAAAAGTGTTCCATTGGGTATGAATTCATAAACCAAGAGGGGAACTTCGGTCTCTAAACAACAACCCAATAGCTTAACCACATTCCTGTGGGAAATTTGTGAGAGAATGACAATTTCATTAATGAACTGTCCAACGTCACCTCCCTCAACTATTTTAGACTTCTTCACAGCAACAATTCTTCCATCCGCCAACATTCCTTTATAAACTGTACCTTGGCCTCCCTGACCAATAACTCTGTCTGCATTAAAATGGTCCGTGGCTTTCTCTAGCTCCTTGCAATTGAACAACTTAACCTTCTCAACATTGAGTTCACCAGAAGATAATTGTTGCTCCAGCACTAAACCACCATTTTGTCTAAAGAACTTCTCTTTGCGTTTCATATCTTTCCTTTTCTTTATGACTTTGTGCGCCCACCAGATGCCAGTTAGCAGAAACAACAGCCCAAGAACACTGCTGGGAACTGTATAGTTCAATGAAACAAGAAAGGATATATAACTCGGTCAAGAGGATGTTGTTTCATATATATATTCTCTAATATGAACGTCCTTATTTTTTCTGACGTCCAGACTAGTTTTTTTATACTTTTCTTGGTATTGGTAGAATAGAAATCATGCTTTGCCACTACTAAAAAGTCAAAAATGACCTCCAGATTGGGCTTTTCCTTGGTGGTCTGTAGAGAGAACTTGGAGGCTGTTTATGTATTTCAGTGCCTTTTTTTAATGATAATAAAATTGAAAAGAAGAGAGATGCACAAAACAAAATGGAAATGGTTTCCTTTTCATTGAATGAATGAATTCCTTCTGATCATGTGAAAAAACAAAACGAGTTTAGACATTAAGAATTCGGACATCCGTATTAGATAATAGTTCAAATATATTATCATTGAAAAAAAGGCACTAAAGCACATAACACCCTCCAAGTTCTCTCTACATGCCACCAATGAAGATAAAGCCCAATCTCTGATGTTTGACTTTTTAGTATTGGTAGAGCATGGATTCTGTTATACCAATACCAAGAGAAGGGATAAAAGTGTTTGGGTTGATTTATTAGCACAAAGAAGGCAAAAAAACAAGTAGTCCGGACGTTAGAAAAGAGAACTACTCTCTCTCTCTCTCTCTCTCTCTCTCTATATGTATATATATATATATACACGTATATTTTTTCAACTTAGTCATCAATAATCAAAGGATTAGTGCAGGGGCATACCTATAATGGCTAGAGTAACCCGTGATGGTCGTTGATCAGGCAATTGACACATAAACCTCCCAGGATAATTGATACAAATGCCGGAACCACATCTATTGGGGTGGTCTGGATCCTCGCATTCATTGATGTCTGATTTTTAATTGACAAATGGAAGGTAAAAGTTTTGGCAGGAGTTACGAAAATATAATAAAAATAAATATGAGTTATTTTTATACAATTCCACTCATCATTTTGCCATGCAAAGGGTTTCCAGGAGAAATTGTAGAGTGGAAAAAGTAATAAGAAATTAGTGAAAAAGGAAAAAATTCATGAAAAAGAAACTAAGACTTTTGAAGCTTGGACAATGGTAGCTAGAAGTTTACCTTGACATCCATGAAGAAGATAAGGGTTTCCATGGTAGCCCTTTGAGCAGACACATTGGCTGCTGCTGCAATCCGTACTTTTATCATCTCTCCAATTATTTGTTCCATATATATCAAACTCGGTATAATTCAAATCAAGTACGTGCCATTCCAGCACCATAGGAACGTAGTCCATTTCACCAATGGCAGAAACATTTGTTGAGTTTGATGTAAACCAGTCATGCTCTACAAGGAAGGCATACTTGCATGCCTTTCTGTCAGCATTTAATACTGCTCCAAAGCTAGTATTGAAGGACCTGAGATATGGAGTAATGGTGGTTTGGCAGCAATTCATCCCGATGCAGCTTTTCGTTCGTAGATAGCTAGTACTTGAATCATCACATATGGACAAGCAGCCAGCAATTGCTGAACCATCTAAGGATGTCATCAAGGCGATGTCTCCACAGCTCAAGGAAGTAAATCTGTTTTTCATGGAGAACACAAACGGACTTCCTTCCAAGTTCGGCGTCTGGCGGCCTGCTGGCTTGTTACTGCAATTAGAGAAGGTAATAGGGCTTTCCACCTTTAGTGTGCCTTCAACAGAAATTTCCAGCACCTCTAAACCAGTAACGTTCAAGAAAGCTTTCGGTGGGCTGGCTGAGTTGTCACATATTATTTGGAACCAGCCATCAAGGTAGCAGCCAGCTTCAATTCCAAAAGGATATGGGATTTGAGTGACTGATCCGCATTGCGATGAACAATTAGGCTTTGCCAAGGATGTTTCTTCTGATGCTACCGCACTCATATACCACAAGAACAGAGTAATTTGGACAATGTCCATTCGTCTGCTGTTTCTTCTTCCTCTCATTAGTTTCTTGACGACAAACATTACAAATTGAAAGAAAAAATGCAGGAAGATGCAGAGGTAGTTCCTTTTATAGATTACATAAATTCAAATTCTCATTTAAGAGTTGGGCTCATAATAATGAGCTAATTAATACAGTTATTGACTAGGGGCATTACCATATACGGACAAATTGAGGTCACAAGGCATTAACATTTACGGACAAATTGAGGTCACAAAAATAAAATGATCCATCGCCTCCAACACAGAATACATCGGTTCAGTTTTTAGAATAGAATATAAGTCACGTAATTTTTTTTCACATTCCGGGATCGGTTCCGCCGTAGCACGATATTGTCTGCTTTGAGCCCCTCTCTCTGTCCTCACAGTTTTGTTTCTAGGAACTTACGAGCAACTTCCCAGTAAGTCACTCATCATGGGATTGCTCTAGTCCCAACTCACTTAATTTCGAAGTTCCTATGACTCCGAAGCCAATGAACTCCCAAAAGGTCTCGTGCTAAATAGAGGCGGGCATATACATATAAGGCACATCACCTCCTCTCCGTTGGTCGATGTGGGATGTTACATTTTTAAGAGTAAAAAACACACAAATTACTCAATGCATATTTGATGACTTTTCCAAGTCAAGTCCACTCAAGATTTCAAATTTTCCAAATTTTGTTTGATTCCGACATTGTCCAAACGTATAGATTAATCAAAAACATATATTTTTCCAAAGGTGCAGTAAATGAGGAAAAAGCTCTTCCACAGTTCCACAATTTACAAGACCACCTATTGATGTAGTACGAAGCAATAATTGGTTTTGGCGAGGACTTTTGTTATCATTTGACTCCTGTAGAGAGGTATAGCTAATTGAGCAGCCAAACTTGACTGATACATATAAGAGTACTTCCACCCTAAAGGGTAAGGGCAAGGCAAAGACAAGACAAGATTTGTCACCATTCACGTAAATAATAGCAGTCCTTACTTTTTTGGTTTCCACCCCAAAGAGTAAGGGCAAGGGTAATTACTATTTACATTAATTTATTTTCTATTTTTTATACTTAAACCATTAATTTTGATGTTGGAAATAAAGAATATGACTGTATTTATTTTTTAAAAAAAATTTGAAAAATTTGGTTTTTTTTCCTAATTTTTGTTGTTGCTGATCTGCCCAAGTTTGTGGAGTTTGCATGGTCTTGCTGTTGTGCGCTAGAGTCAACTGCGCTGCCCAGGCAAAAGAAGAGCGTTGGAAGTGCCCTAAGACGATCGTGGATGGGACTGGATGGAAAATGTTGCTATTTTTGTCGTTTGTGGAAATTTCAAAAGCATAAGTTATTGGGTATTTGATCATGGATTCAAATTTTCAAAAGCAAATCAAAAGGACATCTGCACTTCACTTGGATTTCCTAGATTTTGGAGGGATCGTGGGAGTACACATTTGTCAATTATACGCGTGGGAATATGAATTTTGGCTGCCCATCAAGGTGACACATAGATAGTGGAATTTTACTTTATCATATTATTACTTCGCATAGTGACGAAAGTATATAGGGCCAAGACTGCACATTTGATCCACTCCTTTCTCATCTTGAATGTCATCCTCTTCACCAATAGTGGTGCTTATATAAGTAATCAATTTAATTAAAATAGTTTCATTACATCATTTGTAGATAATGAATTATAATTACTAGCATATACTAAAAGACTCCTAATATTTACTTGTTATTATAAAGGTGGACATTTTGGAAATGTTATACGTTTTCTAGCTAGCACAGAGATACATATGGTTATGTACTTCAGATTTTACCCATTGATGCATGCAGATGTTCAAGCGCATATATTCCTACAAAAGCGTACATACGTATGTATATGGCTCGTGATCTTTTTCGTATACATTTTTGTTTAGTATGATGTATTTTTGTGTGTATTTTTACGTAAGAAGTAGGCCGTGAAGGATGCAGTAGCTCACGACTAAGCATAGTGTGGCATGGTTCATGTTGGAATTCAGGAAAATGTAACCAGAAATGCAAGAATTTGGAGGCCGCAATCCATGGGCAATGTGAGATGTTACCTGGTCCTAAATGCTTCTGCTACCATAGATGTTGAATGCAATGAACAGATATTTCATACATGACTATTAATTTTTATTTAAATACACTAGTTAATTTCCAAAATGCTACATTAATTTGCTTCCTAAAGGGATTTTTCTTCATAGAATTCAATTCAATTTTTAGTACCCTATATCATATAAGAAGGAGAAAAATTTTCATGTCACGAAGATGTACAAGGCAAAGTTACCACATAAATATCCTACACTTTTGTATTGGGGATGTGAAGGTACTCCAATCCCATCCACAGTTGCACCAAAATGCACAAACAGTTTACGAAGTTATCATCTTTTGTTCTTAAGACTTATTTATGACATGACTGATCTTCCAAATGACTTTCTGTACATCATATTGGTCCATGTTGTGAAATCACACCCAGCGAGGGAACTGACCGGTCGGTAGTGGACTACAACCGACCATTCTGCATTTCTATTCTGAAAACCCCCAACAGAGTGTTGATTACTCAAAATTCATGGCCTGAAATAAGTGATGGTGGTATGATTACGAATACACTTCGTCAGAAAAAAAGTGATGACTACTTGACTATCGAAAATTAATTCACTGGCTTCTCCACCAACTCATATAATCTCATGTTTATATAATATAATTGAGGCCCAAATTTCCCTTGTGTTGTATGTATTATGTAATATCTTCCCAATTTCGATTTTGTTTTCATCGAGGGTACCCAAAGCAGAGATTTTTTTTTTTCTCTCTTTAATACTCTGAGATTGTTCAAACCTTTTCACACTTGAGTGTTGGCCCTCATTCTTGTTTACCAAGTCCAAGTATTGGTCTCTTTACGAGGGGAACTTGCATGTCACAAGAATGTCGTTGTTTTGTTATTCTCATCCAATTACAACTTGTCATGTGGAATTTTTATTAAGTGGGACCGAACGTGATTGATTGGGGATAAAAAAACCAATGATCTCTATAATATACAAGTTTTTTTCCTCTCCATATGTTACTAACCTTTATACGTTTCACACAGTGAAAAGCACTAAACTAAACACACCAAAAAAGGAAAAAAAAAGAAATCAAGAAATTCTCTACTACAAAAGCTTATCTTTTTATCTTAGACACTAGCTAGTCAACTAGCCCTTGTAAACAAATTAAGACAGCCACTTGACCTGGTCTTTACCCACAAAACACTCTATTCATGTTTACATCTAGAGCCATTGTATATCCTATTCACCCTAAGAGGGGAGAGTGGGACCAGGCACACTAGAAATATTGTTCTAGCCTCTCCTCTATCGGATCAAGTTAGCAAAAGTCTGTTTGAAGCTCAAGTTGTAGGCCTCGAATTGATCCAGTTTATGTCTTTGTGACAGGCGTGCCACTGTTGAAACTTTAGCCAAGCCAACATAAAAAGATGGATTAATTAATGATGGATTGTGCTTATAATATGAGGTCTAATCAAGTTATTGTGCTTTAAATGGGAACCGGCTTAAATTAGTTCTTTTCTATGCAATGAAGAGGAGGACTTCAATATTTTACTTTTATGCTTTGGTTCTTGTAAGACAACTTTAGTCTGCTGAGAATAGAAATGGACTAAAACAAAAGAAATAAGCTTCGTTAACTCAAATGTAATCAGAAAAACATGAGATGAGAGACTGAAGATTTTCTCCATTTAACCCATTATAATTGGTAATTTAAGTGAATACAATTGAAAAGCTGATAAACTCATGAACTAATAAGTAGATGCATAAATTTAAAGAAATGACTGGCTTAGCAACTAGAAAGAATACAATACAAAAAAAAAAAAACCAAAAAAAAAAAACAATACAAAAATAAATAAGTAAAAACTCGAGTTGGTTAACTATGGATTATCTTAAGATCTTAAAAGGATTAGGTTGAGTTCAACAAGATGAGGTGTTGATCAAGTGTGAAGTCTGTTTCTAAGAGAAAAGCTGTGTCTTTGAGAGTTGTGCTCTGCATCTATTTATAGGCTCCTTGGTTCTTGAATTTGCACGCTTGATGAAGAGATGTTATGGTTTGTGTCAAGTCTTTCTTTATGGTTTAAACTGGTGACCACTACATTGATTTTTGAACCATCAATGGTGGCTTGTCCAGACATAGCCTTTCCTTGGACAAGTTGGTGTAGTATAGTTTCATGGTTAAAATCGCATTTAATGCGGGTTCTCAAATATTCCCCTCGATGTCTAACTTTTCCAGTTGTTGAAGTCGACTCTAAGTTTTATCTTGGGTTATTGTGCCATTAACCGAGTAAAACGAGTTTCAAAGTGTAAACAAGGGCTTTATTATGAAAAGTCAAAGATTTTGGGCTCACCTGATATTAAGCCTTAATTTCTGAATATTGCGTATTCAATTAAGATTTTAAAAGAGTTTAAAAGTTTGGGTCTATTCAATTCAGATTTTAAAAGAGTTTGTAAAAGTTTGAGTGTATTCAATTCAGATTTCAATTGACATTAAAAAAATACATCAAAATCTAGGTGTATTTAATTATGACTTTTTAAAAGTCAAACAAAATTTAGGTGTATTAAAAAAATTAATTTATTTTGAAGGAATTAATGAGTTGCCCGATATCGTTATAAATTAAAGTGGTAAGTATAAATACAAAAAGCCTTTGACAAATCTTATGTCAACCATAAAAACTTTGAACATGCTCTACGCTTTCCAGTCCTTGAACGTGTGTCATTGTCAAGTGGAGGCAAAAAATCTCTTCTCTTTTTCTACGTTTTCATATATGTATTATCTTTCATCGTGTGTTTGAATAGTCATTGTTTTTGTACATCATAATATGAATAGTTGTTGTTGTTGCCATCATCATACATAGATGAATATCAACATCAACGTATTTGTTGCTTGAAATATTTGCTACTGTACATCAAA